ATTGTCAAGTGGGTTAAAAATTTATTTTTGTTTATCATGATGGGATATTATTGTTCGGATATATTCCTGTTTGGATATTTGAATGATGTATGACTTTTCAGGGTATTTTAATATATGGTGTTAATGGAAATTTCTGTTCGATTAATTATTACCACGTGATAAGCCCTCATTGGACCCAATGAGTGGCGTGTCGCTTGGTCCAACTTGTAACACCCTCAAATTTTCAAACCGATTTTTTGCAAATTATTAATTTAATAAATCATTTTTTTCATTAAACCCTTATCATATCCCTTATCATGATAGGAAAATTTCTACCATGATACATCCAAGACAATATACCACAGGTCTTAAAATATCTCAAAAAGCAATTAGAACCATGAGGAACAGACAGATCCTCATGGCATGATATTTAAATCAGGTCATGAATCAAGAGGGACAAACATAATCCTCTTGGTCATATAAATATATTTAATAAAAAGATTAGAGTTTACATGTTGTCAAAATAAGAAATGTCCTATGTTGGCATAAGATACATTGCATAATACAAAATGAGAGGCAACGTAAAATATGGTGTCTCATACACCAAAGTTACGCCTCTGGTGCTTTCTTGGCCGGACTCTCTCCTGTAAAAATATTAACCACGGGGAATGAGACAAGTCCCAGTAACCAAAAATTAATATGTAATGATGCATGCGGATGTAACTAACCATGCGATTGTTAAGTGGGCACACAAAAACATTTAATCAAACAATATTTCAAACAAACCGAACAAGTATTTAATTGCATGATTGCACCTTATATCCTCCTTTCGCCATGCTCGGACGCCAAATCACCCAGCCAAAGGTGAGTTGAACCAAGCGACACGCCACTCATTGGGTCCAATGAGGGCTTACCACGTGGTAATAATTAACCGAATAGAAATTCTCATTAACACCATATATTAAAATACCCTGACAAGTCATGCATCATTCAAATATCCAAACAAAAATATATCCGAACAATAATATCTCATCATGATAAACAAAAATAAATTTTTGACCCACTTGGCAATAATTTCAAACAAGTATATAACAGTATTTATTTTTAATAATTCATAATTTTTTCAAACAACAAAACAACACATAACCATTCACAAACACACTCATCACAACATATTAATAATGGTTACCTTGTATCTTGAATAACAAGTTCTCCTTCACAACTCCTCTTTCACCACTATCTTTGTCAATATAATCTACATAATTATTTCACAATACTATATATTAATTTTACATTGAAATTAATAAATAACTCTAAATTAAAGAGTTAGAAAGTCTTAGACCTAAAATCCATATTAACACTAATTTAAGATTTATACCTCATTTAACTTCCCAAATTCTTTTTTTCTAAAATTTTCATACCTTAATAAATCATATTTAAGCCTCAAATCACCTTTCTATAACCTCAAAAATATCTATTCATACTTAAATAAATATTTAATAATCACAAGTTCATCCCTACATCTCAAATTCCACATAAATTCAACCATATAGACTTAGATTTTAACTCAAAAATTCTTAAACATGAATTTCAACTCAAGAAAATATTCTATAATATTTATTATATGCCTAAGAGCTTTAACATATATTTTTAATCCATCATATCATCAGATTAACTATCCTATAGAAAAATTCTAATCAGAATATTTACTCTATTCTACAAAATAATCATATCACTAGAAAGCTAATACTATTTAAAAAATAACTATAAAATTAATTTTGTAATTAAATAATTTTTTAAATGTTAATCTAAACAGGAAAGTTGCAACATACCTGAAGAAAAAGAAAAGAATCCCCCTTGCGAGAACACGCCGAGCAATGTGAGAGGAAGAGAGAAAAATAATATAAAAATGGGATTGTAGGTCCCACAATTATATTAAAAAAATATAGGTTTGAATTTAATTATTCAAACCTTTAGGCCATTACTTGCAATTTTCACAAATTGCATCTTGAGCCTTTAGTTGCAATTTTCACAAATTGCAACAAAAATTTCTTCATGCTTCTTCCATAATGTGCCTCCTCCTTTTATATATGAGGAGGCGCCTTTCATTCCCACATCTAACCAATATGGGACTAAACCCCCTTCCCCCCCTTTTTTTTTAACTTTCTTTTCTTTTTTTTTAACTCACTCACACACATAATTTTTTTTCTAAATCTTAAAATTATATCTTAACAAAATATTTCTTATATAATTTTAAACCTAGTTTTTTAATTCATAATTAAATGCCTAACCATATTATTATTTTCAAATAACCTCAAATAATATAAATTCCTATTATTATCATCATTTTTTAATAAAACTTAAATTCCATAAATTTTTTTAATTTAAAAATTAGGATGTTACACAACTCACCTTTGGCCGGGTGATTTGGCGTCCAAGCATAGCGAAAGGAGGATATAAGGTGCAGTCATGCAATTTAATACTTGTTCGGTTCGTTCGAAAATATTGTTCGGTTAAATGTTTTGTGTGCCCACTTAGCAATCGCATGATTAGTTACATCCGCATGCATCATTACATATTAATTTTTGGTTACTGGAACTTTTAAGTCTCATTCCCCGTGGTTAATATTTTTACAGGAGCGAGTTCGGCCGAGAAAGCACCAGAGGTGTAACTATGGTGTATGAGATACCATCTTTTACGTTGCCTCTTATTTTGGATTATACAATGTATCTTGTGCCAACTTAGGATATATCTTTTTTGTGGAGCATGTAAATTCTAATTCTTTTTATTAAATATATTTATATATTCAAGAGGATTATGTCTGTCCCTTTTGATTCATGACCTGATTTGAATAATATGCCATGAGGATCATGTCTGTCCCTCATGGTTCTAATTGCTTTTTGGGATATTTTAAGACTTGTGATATATTGTCTTGAATGCATCATGGTAAAATTTTTCTACCATGATAAGGGTTTTAATAATTTGTGAAAAATCGATTTGTAAATTTAAGCCTGTTACAAAGTATATCATAAAATAGTCTAACATCATTTTCCCCATTAGATGGTCCTGAACTATCTCACTTTTTTCTATAAGAAACGCTTATGTTGGGTTGAAGAAGATTGATATCTCATTTTCCCTATTGATAAGTGTTTATCATAATGAAAGAGGCTATGATTATTTATACACAATATTTTAAATTTCAATCTATGTGAATATTTTTTTAAAAAAAAGTTTTTGGGAGGCTTCCAACTGGGGGCAGCGTGAGTGATTACGATTTCATCCTTAAATCTAGTCAACCCAACCTTGCTTGAGCTATTCGGGCACATCGGATTGAGAACCCGATAAGATTTTAAAATTATGCTTTTAAAAGAGGGCAATCATTAATAGAGGATATTTCATATTCACACCAAAACAAAAATAATAATAATAATGACAACTTGGTAATTTCCTACAGGTGACTAGTAAAAATAAAATTTGAAAGCTTTTCATGGTTGATAAAATATATGCAATACTTGCACTGTATAAATTGTCTTCCCTCTTCTGGTCAATATTTTTAAAAACTAGACCATTAGTCAAATCAATATGGACATGTAATTGAATGGTATCCCCAAAAAAAAAAAAAGACATTGACTTAGAGATTATTGTTAATTTAACAATAGTCATAATCATGCCACTTATAATTAAATTAAATGTATTACAGTTTTATGTCTAAAAAATATAGAAAAATAAAAAAAAAATAATTGACAGCTTGGAAGTTTCTTGCAAGTTGCAAGTTGAAAGGTTCTTCTATATCGCGTTAACAAAATATGGAATACTTGTTTAAATTGCCTTCTTCCCTTCAAATCAATATTTTAAAATTAATTAGATAGATTATTCAGAGACATTGACTGTAGAGATTATTGATTTAATATAGCAATAGTCAGACTTTAATCATACTAACTAATATTTTAATAGGCATAATGTCTATAACGAGCAATTCATTAAATATATTATCTTAATAATTTTTAAAAGTTGAAAATAGATGGGAGTATTATATATCAATGTAGTTAATCTAATATCTATATATCTAATAAATATAAACAAAAAAATTCACAAACTCTAAATTTACATGAGACACAATGCACCACATGAGCCTGAGTATCTAGTCAATTAAAAAAGAAAAATAAATAGAAAAACATGACTAGAAGTAATTAAATTAAATGGAAATTAAAGGATTGGATTTCTCTAGCTTAAGTAAAGTCAGTCGTTTGAATCTTATGAATGAAAGAGAGTATCTTAAAAGAGTTACATTCGATTGGATAAGAAAATATTTAAATATGTTCCAATAATAATAGATATTAGATTATTAGATTAAAAAAATAAGAAGAATATGGTATTTGCTTAGTATATTATATGTTTGGTATAAACATCATATGAAAAATTAATCTTCATTAGTCCCTAATCATTTTTAATTATAATTGAAATTAGAATGTGAGCCCATGCTTTTAAGTATTGCCCGAGCTTTAAGCTTAGGTGAAGCCTAAAATAAGTTATATTATCTATAGTTTGCAAGCAATGTGTAATGACGATGATGATATATTGACTTCCGCATTCGAATGATTAATGGCATTGTTGACTGTTTCAACTCCTTTTTTTTTTTAAAAAAAAAAAAGTTGACTGTTTCAATTCACGAAACTAAAAATAAGAAGGAAAAAAATGTATCAGAAGACAAGATTTCAAAGTTATGAATATATCACAATACCTAACTATAAAATTTAAATAGAGCTAGTATCATGAAGTTACTCTCCTTTGATTTTTTTTTAATGGGAATATTTTGTTGTAATTATTATTTTATTTTCTGTAATTAATTGTAAAGTGATCTATATCATTTTTTTAATAATGATGAGGACACAAAATTTGATCTAAATTATTTTCAAACATATAAAAGACATGCTTAGTTGTCAAAAATATAAAGTATACACTACCATGCAATGCATGGTGGAGTATAATATGCTAGTTCAGAATATATAAAGACTAAAGGATTGCACTCATCAATTCTTCTAAGTAACCAATAACCATTAATTTCCTTTTCTTTGGTTATGGAGATTGGGATCCTATATTCTCTTCTCTTATTCTTCTTCTTCTTCTTGCTCTTTCTGAGTCTAATAAATCCATCATCATCATTCAAGAAATCCAACAAAACCTTACCCCCAGGTCCATGGAAGCTTCCATTCCTAGGTAACTTACACCAACTTGCAGGGTCACCGCCCCTACACTGCCTGAGAGACCTTGCCAACAAGTTTGGACCTCTCATGCATCTTCAGCTTGGCCAAACTTGCTTTATCATTGTCACTTCCCCAGAAATAGCCAAACAGGTTTTGAAAACTCATGACCACATCTTCGCCAACAGACCAAACCTTCTTGCCGCTCAAATCATTGGCTACAACAATACTGATATTGCCTTTGCCCCATATGGACATTATTGGAGGCAGCTCCGAAAGATTTGTACTTTAGAGCTTTTGTCTGTGAAGAGAGTCCAATCGTTCTCAAGTATAAGGGAAGAAGAGATATCTGAACTTGTCAAGTTCATGACTGAACATGAAGGTTCTGCTATTAATCTTCGTGAAAAGAGTTTCGCTCTCACAAATTCCATTGTTGCTCGTGCTGCTTTTGGTAGGTCCAAGAACGTTGAAGCTGTGTTGTCCATTTTGCAACGTACGGTAGGGCTGGCAAGTGGATTCAAGATCGCTGATCTTTTTCCTTCGCTCAAGATTCTTCCTGTGATTACTGGGATGAAAGCTAAGATTGAGAAGCTGCATCGAGATTGTGATAGGATATTGCAGGATGTCATTACTGATCATGAAGAGAAGAAGAATATCATCAGGAACAAGAATGATGATGATGATGATCCTGACGTTGTGAATCATCAAGAAGAAGATCTCGTTGATGTTCTTCTCAAGATCCAAAAGGACAACGACCTTGAAATCCAATTGTCTTATGACAATATCAAAGCTGTAATTCTGGTGATGATCTCAGCCTTAACACTTATATTATGTATCCTCTCTAATTACTTCATATATATGCATGTGAAAGTCTCTATATGTCCATATTAAGTGTGTTCTGAAGACAGTTTCCTTCACTAAAACAGATTAGACCACTTGATTAAATACATGACAAGCTTTATATATTCTTAATATATTAATTATTAGGTGTGAGACTTTTTTTCTAATATTTCCTCAACTATTTTCTCTTTCTTCTTTTTGTCCAGGCTTCAATTTTTTTAAGCCCAAGAGGTCTCATGTTTTCATTTTTCTTTCTTCACTTTTTTAAGATTTTCCTTTTTCCTTCTTTTTTGTTGTTTTTTTTTGGATAAAGGTGCATTTTTGCCCCTAAAATATTCTCCAAAAAGCACCAACACCTTAAACTATTGGTTGGAATAATTTTATCTTGAAATAAAATAATTAAAATGGAGTATTTTTGCCTTTTTTATTAACTTCCCTAACGTTAAAATTTCAATTAATATTTTTAAGGGTCAATGTTAAAAATTTGACAATAAGGGCAAAAATAATGCTCCATTTTAATTATTTTAAAATTAAAATTGCTTTGAAGAAGAGTTTGAAATGCTGGGCATTCCTTGAAGAATATTTCAAAGAAAAAAATGCATCTTTAACCTCTCTTTTTTGTCCCATATCAAATGATTCTTGACACCATATCAAATTCTTCAATTATATTATAATTATGCTTGAAGATATGTTTACTTCATTAATTAAAAGTACCTTAAATCACTTACGTAGACACATTTCAAGTTTTATTTCTAATCTACTTTCTAACTAGTTGACGTGGGACTTCTTTATTTAATACGAGCTTCACTCACACAAAACTCCATTCTCAGGACATGTTTTCAGCTGGAACTCGGACATCAGCCCAAACTATAGAGTGGATAATGTCTGAGTTGTTGAAAAATCCAGAGATAATGAAAGAGGCACAAGGAGAGGTAAGAAGGGTCTATGAAAACAAAGGATATGTAGACGAATCAGAATTACACAAACTGAAATATATAGATGCTGTGATCAAAGAAACCTTGAGGCTCCACCCTCCACTTCCATTACTAATTCCAAGAGAAAGTAGCAAGAGGTGTGAAATAAATGGTTATGAGATACCACAAAAAACTAGGGTTATTATTAATGCTTGGGCACTTGGAAGAGATCCAAAGTACTGGAATGAAGCAGACAAGTTTCAACCTCAAAGATTCATTAATAATACTTCAATTGAGTACAGTTTTAGAGGCACAGAGTTTGAGTATATTCCATTTGGGTCAGGAAGGAGGATATGTCCTGGAATCTCATTTGGTTATGCAGTGATCGAGTTGGTTATTGCTAAATTGCTTTATCATTTTGATTGGAAGCTTCCCAATGGAATGAAGCCTGAGGAATTTGATATGGATGAATCTGTTAGTGCTGATGGGGCAAGAAAAAATGCTTTATGCTTAGTTCCAATGGTCAATCACCCTTAATTAGCTTTATTCAATAATACTTATGAGAGAATAAACAAGGGATGGTTTTAGAATATCAACATACCAGCATAGATAATATTGTACTCTGTTAGAACATCAAGATTATGGGAAAAAAATTATTGGTCCTAGCAATAATTTTAGCCTGTTTTGATATTAGCCTTTATACTTTTTTTCATTGCTCCAAATCCCTTAAGTTTTATCAGTTTACAATGTTTGCCTTTATTGTCACGAATAGAATTAAATATGTTGATGTGTACATAACTTTGTTAATTCTATTGTTGAGTTGGTAAACTTATATGATAAATTGGATATTGTGGGAACAAAATGGCCACTAACATTTCTACTAATTTATCTTAGCCGTCATGTCTTCTTTTTTCTAAAGCTTCATCCATTATGTGTTTAAGAATTTTGATGTAATGTTCTTTTTGTTTTTGCCAGTTACTTATTTTATACAACTCAACTAATTTTAACAAGTCAGCATAAGAAATAATAGTATTTATGTGCACGTTAATTACTATTAAGTCCTTTTGGTTATATTTAAAAATATAAGCACTAACATTGCAGACTCATGAAACTTAAGAGATATAGAGATATTTAAAAAAAAAAGTATTGGAACTAAGACCCAAATACAAACTAAAAATACAGGGACTAACAATTGTATTTTTAATAAGATTAAATATATGATTGTAAAATATAAGTACTAATATTTTGTATAGCCTTACAGGTATTGCCAGTTGAATCTTGTAGTAGATTCTCTCTTTCAATAAGGGAAGAAGAGATATCTGAACTTGTCAAGTTCACCTGCGTAGTACTGATGTATGCTGATTATCATGTAAAATTGTTGATTCAATGTTACATTATATTCCATTTTCTACTGATAGGTCCATTTTATACAGCGCCTTCAATGAGGTTTAGCCTCCAATATTCAATTTAATTATGGCATGAAATAGAAGGAAAATAGGGATTTAGCGCCACACTGAGCATTTAGTGTAAATTGCAGAGAAAGAAGGCTAAAAGAGACCAAAAGAGTACAAAGACGCAGAATCCTCGCCTGTGTTTATGTCTGAGGCCGGACAAAGTTAATGGAGCTCGCAACTGGCCATGAATGAAGCAGGCCACAGGGGTCCTGAAGTTTTTGTTCCAAATCGTTCTGACTGACGTCGATCTGACACACGTGTCAACTGCTGATAAAATTATTAAATTAAATATCTTAATTATACGATAAAAAGAGGGTTGGACCCAATGGGCTTTTTAGGGTATTGAGGTGCCAACACTGCGTAAGAAACCTTAAGGAGCCGTTTATCAAAAAAAAAAAAAAAAAAACCCTTAAGTAGCCTCATTTGAATCATCTAATTTCATATACAAGAATCAGGAGGTATATCACGGACTGTGGAGAAGTTCTTATAAGTTGGGAGTTTTTCTTTTTTCTCTTGTCCTCTTATTTTGTTTATGTATTTTAATGTGAGATTTTGTATTGACTCTATGAATTCTTTTTTATGCACCCATTCTGGGTAGGGTTAGCCTAACTGGGGTCAATTAAATTTTTCTTTTAATTTTATTTATTTATTTTTCTTGTTGAGCATAAGTTTTTGTCTGTGAGAATTTATGTTTATATTTATATTTGTCTCTCTTGCTTTATTTATCTTTTTATATCGACAATTGTTATATAATCTATTTATGGATTATTCGATGAATTGACGAGTGAAGAACTAACCTAGATCTAGAGAGATAGATATAAATAATTAAATTAAAAATAATTTAGAATTTGTGATAGTTTAAATTGTAGCTTGATGATCTAATTAATGCCTTTTGAGAAAGGTGAAAGCCAATTCCTTCCTAGTTAGACACATCCTAATATACTGAAAAGTAATTAGGATATCTTAAAAATCATTGTCACTAGAAATGAAATAAAATAAAAATAAATTATTAGATTAGAATAAGCCATCCTAGCAGATAAATCCTTATTCTTGGCGCTTATTTAATTGATTTGGTTCATCATTTTTTATTGTTGTTTTTTATTTGCATTTTTTATTAATTTTAAATTATTTTCCAAAACTATTAGTTTTTTTATTACATAACAAAGTTTCTATTGTCCTCTAGATTCAACTCTTAAAATACTCTGAGAATTATTATTGCATCAATCTTATACACTTATAAAAGTGATCATATACCATTATATTACGTTACATTGCACATCACATAAAAAAGGACTTAAATGAAAGGTAATAGTACATTAATTAAGCTATTTACATTGGTTTTAGTACCAAAGTAGATTACATGATCTTTGATTGTTAACAAGGGAGGTTCCATCTTTACTTACTCCCTTCATTAAAAAAAAAAATAGAAGGCATCTGTTTTAAGGTTAGATATTCAAATGTGTATGACATTTTTAGTTTTTTAAGATTTAATTAATGATTTTTTTTTCAAAGATGTCATTGATAAATAAACTACTTAACATTTCACCTTTTAGTGAAACCTCTTATTAAATAAAAGTACATGTAAAAATATGATATTAATTTGAATTCAGTTAACTAACTAATTGAGGATATAATTCAAACAAAAAATATAAGATATTTTTTAAGAAAGAAAGTACCATTTTTCTGTACATCTTTGGTTGAGCCCTACGGCTCACTATGCAACCCAATCAGCTAGTGATATACTCCATTCAATTTTTAATATAAGATGAAATTTGAAAGCTTTTTTGATTATATGAATATAAGATGGAGTTAGAGTAATTAATGATTTTTTTTAAATTTTACCTTTTTGGTTTATTTATTGTTATTATATGAATTCCTAAACAACAATTTATTAAAGTCATTAATTAAAAAAGAAAGGTAAAGTTAAAAAGTTACTCCCTCCGTTCAAAAATGTAAGTCATTTTTGAGAAGTTAGATATTTAAAAATATAAGGCATTTTTAGTTTTTCAAGATGTAATCATTACTTTTTTTCAAAAGTATCCCTATTGATAAATGACTTTATATTTATTATAAAGTATTTAATATGAGTAAATATCAAAAGATAAGATTAATTTAAAAGTTAATAATTACTTTATTTATGGATAAAATTTGATTAAAAATGCTTTATATTTTTTAACAGAAGAAATATAATTTTTTATATTTTCAAGATTATAATTAACATTTCTTAATAAGGTTGAAGTTTGTTAACTTTATCTTCTACTATAGACCGGAACAGAGCAACAGATTGCGTTCCAAGCTATACATGCCTGAATTGAATTGTAGCTATAGTGAAATACATGAGTGGGTCAAGACAAAATCAGTTTTGGTAGGTCGATAAGTAGAAAAGCAAAGCAACGGCACGCATACGTCGTGTATAAATTTTTGACTTGACTGGCGCCATTTAAATTAACAATTCATTAGACATAATTAGGGTACTTCCTTGAAAACGATGATCTTGTTTTGATATATATATATATATATATATATTCATGTTGCAAAGAGTCTACAAACTCTATACATGTATTCAGTATTGTAGCTATAGTGTGTTTTTAATGCAATATGGAAAAAAAAGTTGAGTCGGTCGAGAAGTTGGAAAGCAAAGCAACGGCACTTCACGTATATCATTGACTTGACTAGCACTATTTAAATGAAAAAAATTATTATAAAATCTCACTCAATATAATTAATTATTTTAAAATTTATTGATAACTGATAAAAAAAAAGCATCCATAGAAGGTTGTGGCGAGAGAGTGATTGCAGGACAAGGCGGCAGTGCCACAATGGATTGACCATTTTTTGTTGCCATTGATGGATAAAAGGAAGCAAAGAAACCAATGGCAGGGTCAGCGCTCAAGTTCAAAGGATGCAAAATAATTTAATAAAAAATTAATATGTGTTAAAAAATAAAAATTATGGTAGAAATAAAATTATAATAACATAAATAATTTTATCAATATTTTTTATTTTAAAAAATTATATTGAACAATTTTATATGGTCTTTCGTTATAAATAAACTTTTCATATCTCATCTAAATCATTAAAATATTATATATTTAAAAATTTTTAAGTCTAAATGTTTTTTATTTACTTCAAAGGATGCAAATTATCAAAAATAAGAGGCACAAAGATGTAAATTTTATATACCTCACTTATAATTTTCTGAAGAGCCAATTGAGGAAGCAAGAGCTCTAAGAGCAATGAATCCGACCAACTGTTGCGGTGTGCTATGACGGTGTTTCGTGCTATCTTCGAGAGTGCAGATTCAAAGGAAAGGCCACAACACATTGAAAATAATCGGACCAGTGAAAACGAAAAACAAAAACGAAGTAGGACCACGACTTTAGATCGGGCTGGAGATTGAGGGAGGGCGGAGAGAGAAGGAGAACTTTTTTCATGAAAAAAAAAAAAAAATCTTAAAGGACATTATAATCATTTCCTTTTAAAACTAATTTTCAATAAGTCCCTTAGCTTTATAATCAATTTTCCAAAGTTATTCGGCCTGATTTGAAATAACGTTCCATATATGATCCTACACTAAAATTCTCCTTTTTTTATTTCTAAAACTTCCGACCTCCTTTCATACCTTCAAATAATTTGATTGTTTCTCGGACCTGCTTCAAATAATCTATTGAGTTAGAGTTTCAATGTCTCATTTTCCTCCTCTTCATCTTCAAATGACGACATTAAAGATATGTTTGAGGATACATGATGGAATAAAAAAATAGCATTAATGAAATGAAATAGTGAGGAGCAGGATAGAGTAGAATGAAATAAAACATTCTATTATTTGAGAGTTTTATCATATGAATAAACAATTTTATTTAATCAATATTTAAGAATTATTATAAATCAAAGATAAATTGGCCCACTTGACAAAAAAAAATCTTGCATCTAGAAAATATAGACCAAATTTTTAAAATTTTTAAAAGTGTTGTCTTTCACATTGATACACAAGAGTTTATTATTAATATACAAAAATTTTATCATTGAAAATTTATAAAGATATATCATTTATAGACAATATTATATTATTGATAAATATAATTAATCAGCCATAATACAAAATATAATAATGTTAGGTTATTTACTTAATTTGGTCTTATAACATAAGTTATATATGCAAAACTCCTAACATTAATATATTTAATTATATATAATACGTTCTTCAGTTTTTGGGCGGAGAGAGTAAAATTGTGAGAGGAGGTGAGAAAAATGGTGATAATTGTACAATAATGTTATTTATATCAAGCAATTCTATCGTCAACCCCCAAATTAGGGGGGTCGGTGATCTCTGATGGTTAAAGATAATTTAAAAAGTTATCTCAAACCATTGTACTTCTCTTTAAAAGATTCTCTCAAAGTAACAATGTAGAACTTTTAGTCATCCAATTTCATCCAAAAAAAAAAAACTCTCAGACACTACTTAAAGCTTTTGAGTGAGCTTTGGCTGAGAGGATGACTTATCATTGTGTAATTAATGAGTATACACAATGAAGGCAAAGAAAAATTCAAAAGAAAGGAGAGAAAGAAAGAAGAAAGAGCATAGGGAACAAAGTCTCCAACACTCTGGCACTGAATGATAATATGTGGTTTTGTCTTTGTATTACAAAAAAAAAAAAAGAAAAGAACAAAATAAATAATAAAATAAAGGGAAAAAAAAGAGAAACCAATCCAAATCATTTTTATTTTTCCTTTTAGTCATTAATCGTGAAGATTACATGTGTGATCTCAAATATGAGAACACTAGCTTTCCTTAAAACATTTGGAAACATTGGCGAATGGGTTATGAGGAAAAAAAAACAAAGAAAATGTGTGGATGACATTTCTATGAATTTGTAAAATATTAAAAAATTTGTAAGGAGATGCATGGATTTAAAATGGGAGGAGACTAGTACTTTGTAACAAAGTATTTTCCATTGGGCTATCGCTGTTGTCGTTGTGGGCTTCGTTTGCACTTGGCCCAATTATTGATCTGTGGGATCTCAATGATCATGGGGTTGATTTTTTTTAAGTATAAATGCTTAGGAAAAACAGGTTTTACATAATAAATTAGTCTCTAATCCCGTGCGTTGCACGGGCATGACCTACATAAATTATTTATATAAATAGATGTTAAAAAATATAAACTTTTAAAATTTCAATTCAATCATGATTTTTACACAGGTTTTAATATAAATTTAATTTAATTTAATGTAAAAGATGTTGTTAAGGCAATGAAACATTAAGTCAAAGTAGGAGATTCTAATTAATGAGGATTGCAACTCCTATTGAAGCAAAAGATTATAATGATAACAAACAAATCATGGCAGACTAAAGAATTCTGTAATCATTGAAATGTATATTACATTGATGTGTCTAACTCTAAAGAGAGCAACGTAGAAATAGCCTTGAGTGAATAATGGGTTTGCAAGGTAAAAGATCTACACTATGCTATATTAATTATCCCAATTTTTGTTGATTGTCATAATGAGGGAAAGTATTATGGGGAATTTTCTTCATTGCATCTTGATTTGGATATTTCTAAGTTGAAACATTCCTGTAATGCTTCTCTTAATTTTATTTACCGTCAATTTAATTATGATGCTAATAATTTAGTTAAACATAGTTTTAAAATCACTCAAGAGTTTTATATCTTTGATCAACCCCCACCTTTTATTATCGAAGACAGTGGTTGATGAAGGCTTTTTTCATTTCTTTGCTGCTTTACTTTGTGCTTTGTACTGTTTTTAGTTTTGGTTGAATTTTAGTTCCCATTTCTACTCCCAAAAAAAAAAAAAAACTAAGAAGAAGAAGTTGCAACTTTACTTGAGTTAGTAATTTCCTCAGCCTGCATAAATTCATCATAACTCACCCTGCTCTTCCTTGTATTTAGTGTCTCACGAAAAATTGTGATCTTGAATTTTGGTTTTGGTTGTGGTTTTCACTCCCTAACTGTGAGCACGTTCATTGTTAAGAGGTTGTTCAATCGCTCCATACTTCCCAACAACGACAGATCCAGAAAAATTTAGTAATGAGACAATATATATACTTATAATTAAAATAATATATAAATAAAAGTATATGAGAAGTTTTTTTTACCAAAAATTACATGAAAAATTTAAAAATATATCTTAATTTCATTTATATCATAAATTTATTTTTCTAATAAATATGAATAAATAATATTTTTAAATGTGTGCTTGATAATTTTAAAGAGAAAGTTTGACAATTGATTTTTTATTGGGGGCAACTAATTTGAAAGGGGCCAAGTGCAATTTTGATAAAAAAAAAAAAAGTGTAATTTCTACAAATTTCACGGGAATAATTACCCCCTCTATCTACAATGTGGCTACGTCCCTAATCTTAGAAATGAGAGACCATCAATTTTTTTAAATACAAGGTCATAAAAAAAAATCATGCAGAGGGATATAAAATTCAAGTTATATCAAATTCTCAAAAAAATTTGCATCCTAAAAGTGAATGACTAAAAAAAAGATTTAAATTGTTTTCACATGTATGGTGTGCAAGTATATTAGCATATCTGTTAGCTTTTTTGAACGCATGTTAAAGTCATATAGTCTTTCATAACAAAATTCCTAATTTTTTTAATAATTTCTTATAACAAAAGTGTTCTCTATAATCATAATCATAATCATAATGGATATTAATTCTAGTCAAACTTGTTTTCCTACAAAGATTAATGCCTTCTAAAATGTCTAAGAATTTTGATACTAAGATGGTAATCAAAATATTTTAAAAAGTCATAATCCAATTTTCTATAGCAAGATCATCCACTTTGAGCTTGGGTGGATATAGACCACATTACTTTGGGAATACTGTCATAGCATTGGTAACAATCTCGAGTGATTGACATGAGATACTTTTCAAAAAAGTTAATTATATTATTGATAAGTCATAAATAATATTTTTTTATTAAAAAATATAAAGTATTTTTAATTAAATCTCACTCCCAATAAAGTTATTATTTATTTTCAAACTAATTTTATATCTTCATATTTATCTCTATTAAACATCCTATAATAAATATAAATCATTATTAAGAGGGTAGAGGGACACTTTAAAAAAAAATAATTACACTTCAAAAGATTAAAAATATCTTATATTTTTAAATATTCAACTTTTTTTTAATGAAAGGAGTAATTTTTTTTTTTTTTGGCATCTACAACTTATGTCTCATGAAATGCATGAGGGCTGTTTAAAGAGTTTCAAATCTTCTCTCAAGGAGCTTCTAAGATAACATAGCATAATTCTCATTTAAAAAAAAACACTTCATTGTCCATAACATAGCATAATTTTGGACAGTCAAATATTTAGATTCTAAGAATGCGAAGGGCCGTTGGATTGTAGTCAATAATTTACGAATATTATAGGTTTTTGTTTTATTACTTTTATATATATTGATATATTCATCTCAATAAATAAAAAATGTAAAATTGATATGAAAATTAGGGAAAATTAGGGGTGGTTTGGTTTTATTCTCATCTTTTTAAAAAAATGTTTTGTACACCAATTTTTAAAAATTATTTTTCAAAAACAAAATAAAATAAAAATCTGTTTCATTATATTAATTTAAACACAATTTAGAACTAAAAAAACTATTGATTGTGATAATTACTCAGTTAATGATGATAACTTATAATAATAATTGGTCATAGACTCATAGTTAAAGTTTATATAATGATCAAATGTAGTGTGTTTTTTAAAAATAAAATAAAAGAAAATGAAAACAGAAATGTTTTTTTAAATAAAAATAGAAACAATTTTAAAAATCTATGAAAATACAAAACATTTATTTAAATTAATTTACCCAAGCCCTTTGGTATGGCATGTAGATGACAAAAAACTTGAATGACAAGTATGCCATCCTCATGCTAGGAAAAAGAAAAAAAAAAATTATGCCATTTTCATACCAAGAAAAAAACAGTGCCACTGCATAGGATATGAAAGCTGTGTTGGGCGTTTATAGTCGGTTGGTTGTGACGCCGATCAAATAAAATCTCGTGAAAAGGCTCGAGAGAAGGTTGAAGCGGGTCCGATTGAGGGGAGCAGGTGGGCAATGGAGTTGGATCCGGATATGGTTCAGATGAAACCGAGCATCCCTGAAGGACATAAGGGAAATTGGAAGCGAAGTCTGAGGAGAAAAATCTCATCTTCTTCGTCTTCGGTTTCTCACATCAATAATCTTGATGATGGCTGTCTTATGCACATCTTCAGCTTCCTCTCCCCTATTCCTGGTAAACCCTATCTTCTCTCTTCCTTTTTGGGTTTTGTTATATCTGATTCCTTTCGTTTGATTTTGCAATACCCCAGTTTTTGGTCTGTTTCAAGTTGGATTCTTCCCATTTCTATCTTGTACATGTTATTGAGTTTGTTAATCTCTTTGCGGTTACATGTTTCGGTCAATTAAAGAAGACCCAACACTGGATTTTGTCAAAAGTTCGTTCATTTGGAATTTTTTTTTTGGGGATTGATGTGATTGTGTAGGCTATGCTGTTAGATGTTTCTTTGAGTTGGTATTGGTGATTTGGAGTATGAAGTAGGGTTGTGGTATGGAAATAAGTGTCATTTCTGTCACGGAGCTGCTATTGAGTTTGCAGATCGCTATAACACCGCCCTCGTTTGCCACAGATGGAATTACTTGGCATGTCATCCTCGCCTGTGGCTTCGAGTAGATCGATCGGCCAAAGACTTATCTGAACCTGGTGTTTTCCCCAGCATTGAAGCTGCTGTTTCTGCAGCTAGGTTTGTCATCATTGCCTTGTTTCTGGGATTTTCCTCATCACATAATAGGTTATGATCATCGTTTTGTTTCTCTCAGACCAGGGGATACCATTCTAGTTTCAGCTGGGGGGAGCCATCGTGTCTCCAACATTCAGATAAAGAAACCACTGTGCCTTGTAAGTCCTTCATCCAGGGCAATAGAATCCACAGGCACTCGTTTAGTTTCCAGCTGAAATAGATGAAAAGAAAAAAATATCCTAAGTGTTTTTTCAAGAATCAGTTTTGTCTTTGTTTCTAAATTATGTCCTCTTTGTTATGATTTCTCTTGTTTAAATAATTACAAGAAGTATAATGCATTTTTGGCTATAGGTATTGCACATAGCTCTTGCTGGTGCCGAGTGACTGCGTTTTTTAGTTGTCCTCTAGTATCATCACTGTCTCATTGGTATTGGTCCTTAATACCATTGTGGTTGGATGATTTTCAGTTGTAGTCACTGTGACTTTCAATCTGAGGTCATATACTAAATGGCAATGCTTCATCGTGATGCATAGCTTCCTTTGCTATGGAGTTTTTCTCAACATTCAGAGAGGAACAAATTTCTAAATCAATACTGTGGGTTACCTGATGAATTTACATTAACACTGGCCATCAGACCATATCTTTTTGTATGCTTGTTTTGTTCTCTGCCTGACATAGAAGAAATTCTTCACTAATTTAAATTGGTGCTTTGGCCATTAACCATTATCACTAGTCCATGGAAAATAATTTTGATGTAAAGAAATGTTTCCATGCTTTCCTTTTTTATCTGAAATTCTGAACTTTCTTTGCCTAGGTTGGTGCGGGCGAACTTCCAGATGACACAATGCTCCTTTGTTCTCGAGGTTCAGACAGGTTTGCAGAACTTCTATCTAGTTTCATTACCTTGTTTGGTGAACTTCTGAAGTGGTCATTCAGACCCACCTCCATGCTGCTGGGTTCAATGGATGCTAGCCAAGGCTAGACTCTTGCTGCTTTTGAGCTACATGTCTTGACTATGGTTTACAATACTGCAAACACCATTTACCATATCCAAAATCTATCTTTGTTGTCTCAACCATAATCCAGCAGCATGGACAGGTCTCCAGAAAAGTCACCACTGAATTCGTCTTCTGCAACATGTTTGTATCTGCTCTTAATTTTGTCTGAGCAGTGCATTGGAGTTCCTTTCCACATGCAAACTAGCAAATCTAACCGTGAAGACAGAGCTTGGTTGCTGCTTGCTCCATAGAAGTGGAAGACTAACTATAGATGGATGCATACTTCAGTGTGAATCTAATCCTCTGGATTACCTCTCATGTCCCATTGTGAGTACAGCCTGTAGCAGAGAGGTGATTCCTTCATCCATGAAGAACAATGGTGATGGTGTTTTTGTTTCTCAAACTCAGATCGAGGGAGGCGCGAAGGCTGTTCTGACTAGCGGGGATCTTGCACTGCAACGAGTCAGAGTAATTTATGCTCGGACTTCTCTTCTTTTCTGGTTTGATGTGGAGCACACATGATCTAATTGTTCATGATCATCAGCTCCTGTATCATCATCATCTGGCTTTGTTTATTTATTTTTAGTTGGCTGGGTAGCTGTCTGTAATTTATTTTTAGTTTATGGCAGTTAGCATTGTTTCAGGGGCCTTTTCTTTCCCCTGTTGTATCTCTGTAGCAGAAAGAATGATGGGGTGCAAGATATAAACTTGTGTCATTTTGTTCTCTCATTGATTTTTTCACCCTTTGCTATTATTTCTTTCTATCTAGAGAAGATGAAGTAAAATTTAGGAAAAATTAATCTTCCAGTTCTTATAGTTTTTTCTAGTTTTGAATCAGATCCTTGAACTTTTTTTTTTCTTTTTGATTAGATCCTTTTAAGTTTCTGCTGTTAGATCCGTTAGTCCCACATGGCAACTAGCAGTGAATCTTTTGACACGATGGATTTTGACCAAAATTCCAAGTAGGAAAATGGAGCCACGTCTTTGGGGGGAAAAAAAATAAAGTGAATTTGTTGTCTTCTCTCTACCATTAAACTTTACTGTTGCCACGAGCTTCAGCCGAGGCCTTCTACGCTTAATTTTTTTTGGGTAATGTGACTTTCTATTGTTTTCGAGAAATCCATACACTTAGCTTAGCAACCTCCTTCAACATTTGATGCATCATTTTCACCCTAGCAATGCTCATAATCTTCGACTACAACTCATTTTCAGATGCCAAAACAAGTTGATTAAACACCCAAAAGAAAAAGAAACTGATCAGAAAAACGAAGAACACTCAGCACCTACTTCCACCAACACATAACGCCACGGAGAAGAAAAATTTAAAAAAAAAAAAAATTGCCTTGGGTGTTTTTCGAAAACCAAATTCTCTTTACCTGTTTGTTCGATTTCCACCGCCGCAGGCACGGCGGATCAGTTATTAAATCCGTTACTTTCGACTTCTACTCCCACAGATCAGCAAAATGCCTTACTTTTTAACTTTCACCCCTACAAACGACGATGAATCATTCTCTATAAACGCTGGTTAGAGCCCGATAGTTCACGCCAAACGGTTTTATTCTTTAGGCATTAACGCCTAAAACGGAGTAAACATAAAGGATGGATTTGATAAAAAGAAAAAAAAAATAATTCAGGGGGCTCATTAAAAATTAGGGACAACTATAAGGATCTCTGAATTAATTTGCCCTAAAATTTATAATGAAATATTTCTTATTACTAATCTGGCCCTATCTACAACAAATCCTTATTTTTTTTCTAAATATATTGATGATCGCATGAATATCTCAGATTTGTTGAAAATTATATTTTTTTTAATCTAGTGAAAAATATTTAGCATATGTGTTTTTTTAGCCAATATTTGAGTTCAAGAGATTACAAAATAAATAATTTTAAATAAGTGATTGAAAATTTTAGAATTATAAAATTAGTCAGCTTCATACGGTAAAGACAAATATTGAATGTATTTTTAAATAGATCTTCAAAATTTTAATTTACGCACAAAAATAATTTATAAACAAGTTTTAAATAATCGTATCAAAATTATTTTTATTTTGGCTAACATAAGTTTTTGAATACCTGTTAGAAAGTTATTAAAAACAGAAAGAGACAAAGAAACACAGTCGAAACTCAAGGCAGCATCACAGAAGCTCCACTCTGCAAGCAAGGAAAGTTCTCCAATTGTAGAACGCAAATGTCAGTATTCTAGCTCATCGTGTCACACTTTATCTTATTAGTGTTAGACTGTTAGTAATAATGAAAACTTGAAAATCATTAACCACCATGAATAGATGATCTGTCCATCTATCAGCATGAAAACAAAAGGGTCACACATAAAAACTTAACCCAACAGTATTATTGCATATCATATTTCACCCAAGAGCTTCCTCGAGGGTTTCTAGTGAAATGAAACATGTCACAAAAACGGAGATTTGACTCATCCAATTAAAAATATTTGAACAGAGGCTTCAAGTGCACTTGGCCAAATATGCATTCCATCCTTGAAGACGGTATTCACGAGCTGTTTCAGCTGGATTGGCTGCTTTGATAATGCCACGTCCCACTATTATGATGTCACTTCCCCTGTCATAGATCACCTGCAAATCATTCAATCAAAACTGCATATGTCAAGACTTAAGTGTAGCGATATTATCAATTACCAAATTATCATCTACAAAGAGTGACATAGAATCTCTATTTCATCTTTAACACTAATCACCGTTCAAATGCAATATATGTACATACTTTTATGAATGTTGATTTATTGAATTCATTACATTCCAACTCGTGTTCATAATTTTACTGACTATGAAGTTTTTTCCTTAAAAGTACTAATAAGTTGCAAAACCAGGAGAATGCAGCAAAAATAAATACTCCCTCCGGTCCTTTTTTCTAAAAGGTTACCTTGGTCCTTTATACAGGTCACTTTCCCTTGTTTTTTTTTAACATTTCATGTACAATTTCAAAACTACCCTCCAGCAAATTCTAAAAAAAAAAAAGTGTAACATTTCAATTTTCAAGAAAACTCTTTCCACATATCAAATAACTCTTTTTTAAATTTAGGGGCAAAATTGAAAAATAATCTATTCTTAAGAAAATTTTAGTACTCTAATTAACTCGTCTTAGTTTTGATAAGTTAGTTAGAGGTGACTTATAAAGAGGATATGAACCAGTAAGAATAAAGGATTTTCAAAGCAAGAAAGCTGCATTTTACATTGTTGATGAATGGCAATATTCAATAACTTACAGAATATGGCGTGTTATATTGTTAATCCTACCAGAAATCTTTTATCCTCGGCAGGTAAAACTAAGTGAAAAGTAACTCCTACAGGGTTCAACTCTGAAAATGATCAACTTTCCAGTACATGTGGATAGGAAAAGCATTGGCTGATGAATGGCAATATTTCAATATTCAATAACTTACAGAGTATGGAGTGTTATATCGTTGTCCCAAAGCATCACCACCAGTCACCATTTGAACACCAGGAGTTGCCTGAATGAAAGAAGGATTTATGGGTGCCCCAGGCCATGACGCTGGATTGACTGAGATGAAGCCAATAACAAAATCAGAGTGATCCTCAGCAATTTTCACTGCAGCAGCAGTATAATCTCCCTTGGCAAGGTTACCAGCAGAACTCATTTCAGCAAGCAGCAAGAGACCCCTGCCACGTGGCAAACCCTGAGTACAGTTCAAGACATGTGATGCTATAATTGAGGTCTTGCTGCATTCAAGACAAATAATATCTAGCATTACATACCTTCAGTTTCAATCCATCCACAATTCCAGGACCAGAGATAACGTGGGCATTTACTATATCAGCCCAATCCAATATATGGAAGATTCCTCTTCAAATAACAGAACCAAAAAAAAAATGTCACATTAAAGCACAAAAAAGTAAGGGTAATTATCTCCACCTGAAAGACAAAAAAGTTGGAAGGAATTTTTTGGTTAAAAAAAAAATCCAAAATGGAAGAGTAAGGTCTTACCCTTCATACTGCATTGTTACTGTGTTACCAATGTCAGCAAATTTCCGATCCTCAAAGATTAAGAAGTTAAATTTTTCTGCAATCTTCAATAGAATAAACAACGTATCAGACAAAGCAAGACCAGAACATTAAGTATCTCCACAAAAATTATCACATGCTCAAAATCTTACTAGACTACTGTCCAAGGTAATACACAGGAAATCAACATTTTATCTTTAATAAATGCTAACTAATCTACTAAAGTGTATAAGACAATAAACCTGGGAAGAAAAAGCTTGTTTGCAATCTTGAGAGGTAAGGCAAAATAGATATACAGAAAAAAAGGGGGCACTTCTGTTAGAATTATACCGAGCGGAGCTTAGAGCCAAAATCAGGAGTAAAATCTGGCAAAATGTCCACATGAGTTTTCAGCAGGCATATCTCAGGCCCAACCTGTCAAGGAAAATCAAATTAGGTGAAATACAAATAATTACTCATGCAATACTTCTACCTATAGCCCAATTGGCAAAAGGGGGGGAATCCCATTAACAGAACTCATTTTCCAGATAGCACTTGTCCTATTAATTTTTTTTTCCCCACTACGTGAGATTAGAGTGTAAATTTATACCAAAAGAAATGAAAAGTTCTCACCTTCTCAGCAATTTCAAGCAACTCTGCTGCAGTTCCAACATCTGCAGCCAAACACAAGTTACTCTCCTTCTTAGCCATTATATCAAACAGCCTCTTGCCTGTTGGATTCTTTGACAGCTTTGCCCTCTCCTCAAATGACAAAGCCCTGACCCTAGTAGTAGGCTTCTCCACCTTTGCCAAAGCAGTAACCTTTCGATTCTCTTCTAAAAATTTCATAACAGTCCCAACAATCTCATCATCAAGCTTTCCCTTTTCCCTCAAAATTTTGACCATTTCAGTCAGTCTTATAATTGCATGCAGCTTGATGCCATTCTCCTCTAAATTCTCTCTCCCACCCTGCTCTCTATCGATTAAAACGACAGCATCACTGACCTTCATCCCTGCACCACGCAATGGAGCAGCAGTTTCCAAAACTGATGTGCCGCTCGTAACTAAGTCTTCAATGATTAAGCAACTTTGGCCAGGCTTGTATTCACCCTCAATGGCTTTAGCAGTGCCATAATCCTTGATTTCCTTGCGGCGCATGACCATGGGGATGTTCTTAGTGACTGAGACACAAGTGGCAATGGGTAGAGCAGTGTAAGGGACTCCACACACAAGGTCAAAGGAAGCAGAAGAGACAGATGAAATTAGAATTTGGGAGATTTGCTGAAGAAGGGAAGGGTAGGATATGATGAGGCGAAGGTCTATATAAATTGGTGAGGAGATGCCAGATTTGAGTTTGAAGTTTCCAAATTTGACAGCTGAGATCTCGAAGAGTTTAAGAACTAGAGACTCCATAGAAGATGACGATGACATTCCCTCACGTGTTTTTCTGAGTTGTTTCAAGTTTTGTCCAAGACCTTAGAAACAGCCTGTGTCATCCAATAGGCGACATCATCAACCACAAAGGTTGAAAAACATAGATGTTAACATTGATAAAAGTGGCATCCATTTAGCTCAGACTTCATCATTAAACTACTAACTTCACATTATGGATAGTCTCCTAGAAGCGAGCAGTTCTTGCAACCTTTACAAATTACTCTAACTCAAGAGGCCAATGGCATATAAATTAAATGATAACCTGAGGGATGAAAGGCGTAGGAACGTTTGAAATAACAAAATTATATGACCCTTATTCACAATCATTCATCTCCCTACTACCAAATTTGTAGCACTTAATCAGAAAAATCAACTCAATCAAATGTCAGCCGTAATGCAGCAAGGAGGTATCATATCTAGCTATATAAATGACAAAACTCAAACAAGGTAAAGTTTGTAGTTAGAAAAAATATAATCCAGGAGCTTCAGCTCAATAGAAAAGAGTGAGAAACTCGTGGGTTGCCATCTGCTTCCTAGACGTTAAAAAGTCTGAGGTTGGCTTAAGAGAGAAATCATCGGAGACAAATGCAGGTTTAAAGACGAAATGATCAAAAGGATAAAAAAAAGATTCTCAGACAAGGAAATAACGTAGCGTTAATCTGGTGATTCTTGCAATAATAGAGAAATAAAACAGACGCTTTTTCAGAGTATAAGGTCATTGATAACCGAGACTGCCGATATGGTAAATGGCGCAAGAAGGCATTCAGAAGTAAGAATTGGAGCAGAAGAGATAGGAATAAGACTGTAAGAGAGACCGACCAGGCAATCACCGGAGATGAAGTAGGCGGCGCTGGCGACGAAAGCAAGTGATTCGGAGTGGGCTTGTGCTTCTGAAATCATGCGTTAACCAGGTGAGGGCGTTGAAGTACTAAAGTAAAGCAGAGTCCTTTTTGACTTTTTTGGCTCAAGAAAAAAGCTTGAGTCTTTTTATTTTACTTTTTTTTGGACCTTCGGCATGTTTAATAATAGACGATGATTAAAGTATTTTGATATATCATCATAAAATTAGGGGTTAATTTAAAAATCATTTTAAATAAAAAAAACTATAATACCCTAATATATTTTCTGTTAAAAAAAAAAAAAATTAACCTCACGATGGCCGGTGCTAGTCACTAGAGACTCCTACCATCACCAAGGTCACAAGCTACCAGTGGCGACAACGATCAATTGAACCATTTAATTATTACAGGTGGTCAAGTGGGTCTAAACCCAAACCCCCTTGGCGATCCAAAATATCAATCACCATCAAGCCATTAATGTCATTTAATTATAATATGCAAAAAATAATATATGTAATAATTATAACAATAATGATAACTATTTTAACAAGCAAAATGATTATTTTCTTAATTTATTAATTATGAAATTGATGTTTGTTAAAATAAAATAAAAAGTTTTTTTTAATAATAATTTATCCACTAAATCATAATACGTGTTTATCTAAATTACTTATTGATTACTTAATTTGTGCTTGTTAAAATGGAACGAAGACTTATTTTTTGAAATAATGACTTGTTCATCATAATCCCTCACTTATGATTAACCAATTGTCATAATTATTACATATATTATTTTTTCTTTTGCAAATTATAAGTAGATGGCATCAGTGGCTTGATGATTATTGATCTTTTGGGTGGTTAATATTTTGGATTCAAACCCCTCTTTGGCCTCCTTTAATGGTTTAATTAATTGTTAGCATTAGAGCTTGGCAATCATCACTCGAGGTCTGACAATTGATGACCTCATCGGGGACAGACGGTCTCCAACAACCAAAGATAATAGTATGACACCAGTGGTTGTGGAAGTAAACTGTTTAAAAAAAATAATAATTAAAAATTATTTAAATAAATTTTTATCAATTTGTCAAAATTTAAATAAAAAAATCCTGAATAAATTATTATTAATTTATAATGAGTTGTTATTAAAACTCAAATAAATACTTATTAATAAAAAATTAACATGAAGCAACAAGTATTCATTTAAATTTAAATAATAAATAATTTTTAATTGATATAAATTTATTTCAACAATCCTTGATTGTTATTTTTTTAATTTTTTAATACACATACGTTAGAAGTAGTTTAGTCTTTTCACAACATAATTTAATTTCATTTAAATTCTTTAATCTTATAAAGTAATTTTAAAATTATTTAATTTTTAATTGTGAATGAGTCTTTTAGAAGATCCTTGGATGCGCCTCGCTAGAAAAGTAACATTGAAAGAGATTTTTTTCATTGGTCAAAAACTGCATCGAAAGAGACTGGGTCAGCGTGTGTACGTACATTCCTGTGTTGTGTTTTTTATCGAACTCATTAATTTTGAGATAGATTATATTATTGCCATCCATGTGTCACATAATTCACCTTTAAAATGTCAAATCCAAAATTTTCAGCAAATTTATCCCCGTATCTCCATCGGAAAGGTTTAACTTTATTTTTTTCCCCCCTTTCCTTTTCATTTGAATAATCAGTTTAGTTGGGTTTTTATATTTTGTCAATTTACAAATTCTTCAATTAAATTTCAATAGAATTTAAATAAGATAAAACTCAAAATTCAACCAATCATCACCTATTGAGGGAAAAATATGAGTACAAGACATGCAGATCCACGCTACAAATAACTTGTTGGAACAAAAATTGTTCTTAAGTGGTTTGTAAATAACTTTATTTTTATTTTTTGTAAATGAAGAAAAGAAATCCTTTGTTGCACATATAATTTTTATAACAATAAAAATCAAATTCAAAAGGTTTTGTAATTTAATATTATGTTTGATATGTTTGAATAAGAGTGAGAATGTCATTCCCATTTTATGTTTAGTTGGGGAAAGAGTTAATAATGCAAAGGATGGGTGAAAACTGAAAAGACAAAAGTAACCTTTGTTAAAAATATTAAATTATAAAGTTAGTTTGATTAGAATGGAGGGTAAAATAGTAACTTTAATAATAATCATATGGAGATCTAACATTTCATCCACTTTCTGGAGAATATTTTAGGCCTTATTTGATACACATAATAGAATACTATAATTAAAAAATAAATTATTATGCAATAAATATTATATATATATATATATATATATATTTTAGTAAGGATCATATACATTGTATTTAAAGAATATTTTTCGTGAAGATTACAATGATGCCTTGTTAGTGGTTTAGACTTTATATAAGAGAATATAAGGCTTTCTTTCAAGAGAGAGAGAGAGAATATAATTATGTGGTACCAAACAAAAGACCGACATATCTTTTTTTGTGCACTATTTTTTTTTTTTGAAAACATGACAACTAAATAAAAAGATTACACAAGGTTTATAAAAATACAGCCTAGTGAAAAAGAAAAGGAGAAAAAGGCATCAGACTGACAGGTAAAATAAAACACATATTCAAAAAGGGAAAGGAGAGAGATAATGTCCTGCCAAACAACATCCCCATCAAATTTCGTCTTCTTTGAGAGTTTGGTTCTGTGAAGATTCTTCCGAAAGCCCACTAATCCTATTGAAGCTAAGGAAATTTGGTTATCTCTAGCAAAGATAGATATCTAGTTAAGAGCTGCTCGAGTAACATTAAGTCAAGTCAAATTTGCGACTTCGCATGAACCAATCTGAGAGAGGAAATATCTGTAGAGTGGTGCCTCCATTTCTTATCAAGCAACACCATTGATTCTTACCAGCAAATTTCTTTTTTCTAAACCAGAGAGTCCAGCTATTCTGATACACATGCATAGCAATTGGACAATTTAAAAAATCAGCACTAATAGCTGTGGGCGGAGATTTTACTGGAGCTGTTGGCCTGATAACTTCTGAATATTGAAGCCACGCATTGAGATCTGAAATGAATCCTTCAAGGTAAAGGGGTGTTTATAGCCTCAGTTTGCTTTGGTTTTTGACTGGTTTTGTTTTGTTTTTGACCAAAAACCAAACCAAACCGAACCATTCGGTTTACTCATAACTAAAACTTGATCGATTTTTATAAAACTCGGTTTAGTTCAGTTTAATTTTCGATTTGGTTCGATTTGGTTAAGGCCTAGATCAGGCTTCAATACACTTATTTATTTTTTTTTCCTTTTTTTCAATCTTCATAATGGTACTATATATTAAAATTAAATTTAATTCTTTTTTACTCCTTTTTTTCATAAGTAGGGGTATAAAAATATAATAAAATTTTAATGTGATAATGATAATTAATCGTAAAAATTAATATGAGTTTTTAACAATAAAATTATTTAAGATTATGCATTTTTATTAAAGTCCTTTGAAAATATTTATCTATGTATCTATATTTTAATAAATAATGAAAAACTTATTATACAAAATTCAAAACAAAATTCTTCTTATAGATAAATTGAATACTGAGGCTTTTAACTTGTAAATAATTAAATGATAGTCATTGCATGATTATCATAATTATTTAATATTATGCATTTCTATTCAAGTCCTTTGAAAATGTTTATCTATTACTATAAAAAATTCAAAACAAAATGCTTTTTGTAGATAAATGGTCATATATTTCATAAATAAATAAATAGTATTTTTTTAATCAGGTTTGGCTTGGTTTGGTTCGGTTTTTAATACTCAAAAACGAACTTGAATCAAATTAATCGGTTTTCATATCATTAAAATCGAAGTGGACTTGATTATTGTTCGATTTTAATTGATTTTTTTCGATTTGGGTTGGTTTGGATTGGTCCTTTCAGTTTGAATTGGTTTTGAACACCTTTACTTCAGGGTTCAAGTCTAAAGACTTATTGTGTGAAGCTAGATTTCTTTTCCACCAGATTAAGTTGATTGAGGTAATAATTTTTTTCAGAAGCATAAAATCTCCCGTTTTATAGATCTGTAATAAGAAATCAGGGAGCCAAGACCTAATATTAGAAGAATTGAGATCATTCATCCTTATGCCCAACCACCCAAACTAAACAGCTTTAATTAGGGAACAGTGAAGGAAAATGTGATCATGTGATTCCTCAGTGGAACATCCAAATGGGCAAAGAGATTGTTTTGCAAGTGATGCTCTTTTAGGGTTTGCCCGACTAGAAGGGAACTGTGAATCAACTTTCAAATTAAGACTTTTTTTGTGCACTATGAATGAACTTGCTTCGGCGTGAGAATAAAGTAGAACTGATAATTTAAATTTAACCTGATGGTTAGTCTAAACTCGTCTGAAAAATTTAAAACCAAGCTAAAATAATATTTTTTAATGTTCAAATTAAGCCCGACTGGGTTCGGACTTAACATAAATACTCAAATAAAAATATTTTTTAAGATAATATATAAAATATAACAAATATTAAGTAATTCTTTAAATTTTATTTCATTTTATACTAAAATAGCATATATTTAAATGCATTATTATAGTTATTTTTTAAAAAATTAAAAGTATTTATATTTTCATATTTTATTATTTGTAATTAATAAAATATCTCAAAATAATACTTAAAATATATTTTAATATTAATTTTTATATTTTAAGACCCAATTATTGTTTAAAAAAGTTTTAAATCCTATAAATCATTTGAGTATCCAACTAAATATATTTTTATCTTTTATATAAAATAAGATAATTAATTTTAAAATAAAAATTAAATTAAAAATAATTTTAAAAATAAAATTCAGACATCTATGAATTCTCAATTTTACTACTAGATAAACATAATAAATAAAAAAATATCTTTAAATAATTATTTAATTATCATCCACACCAGACTTATTTAAAAATTAATAATAAATTAGAGTAAATACCCATAATATACAGGAGTTAAACAATATAAAAAGTTAAAAAATAATTTTTAAAAAAATATTTTACTCATAATTAAATAATTTTATTTTATATAATATAATAATGACTATTCTTCTCATATTTTTAAAAACAAAAAATACAATTAATTCAAAAGTTATTAAAAAATTTGAATTAATTGAGGAAATGATTTTAAGTTAGTGGTCTAACAATGTTTGAATTGAAATCAACTTGATCATAATTAAAATAATATAATATAATTAAAATATATAAAATATTTATACATGATTATGATAAGAGCAATATTTGAACAACTAGGACATTAATTTACAAGTAAATAAAATATTTATAAATAAATTACATATAATTCAACAAAATAGTAACAGAGTTATTTAAATACAAAGTTAATAAGTTATTTTTTTATTCCTTTAAAATTAAAATAATATTTTATGTTTAATAGAATTATTTAAAAATTAAAATTAATTTTTTAAAAATATTTTTAAAAAGCTTTGAGTATTCAGGCTGGCTTGACTAAGCTCGAAACCCAAAGGCGTTAAGGCCAAACTTGGCTATATGAGCTTTTTAAATATGATATGATATTTTAAACCTGATCTAAATAAGCTCACTCAGTCTGTATTACCAATTCTAAAATAAAGCTATTCTTGGACATATGATCCTCAGAGGATTAAGCCACCTTTATATTAACCCTTGAAAGATTTTCATTCACAAGTAATCATCATTAGGTTGAGTAATAACACAAAATATGTATCAAATTATAAAATACTTTTAAACAAAATCTTACATATCAATAAAGGTTTTATAATTTGATATGGAAGTAATATTAAACATGACATTGTACTCAAAGCTAAAGGATTATAAACAACACTTTACCTTAAAACCAAATGCTTCCCTCCTCAATCCAAGTTTTGATCTTCTGATAAAGGAAGGCTGTAAAGTCCATCAAGAATTAAGGGAGGGAGGGATATTATAATTTTATAGAGAGCATCTAAAATACAAAAGAACATAATACGGGAGTAAAAGACTTTATATCAGTTAAATTATTTATAAGAGTATATACTCTTTAGACGTAAGATTTTTTTTAGCCAAAAAATTAACAAACGTGACTAAAGCCCATGACAGAAACAAGACAAAACAGTTCATCAAAATGAAAGAAAGAAAAGAAACAAAACACAACAACACAACACACTAATAGTTTAGTTGGCTATAATGATAGTCTCTATAATTTTAAAAATACATATAAGGATCGTGAGTTAACACTAATAGAGTTAATTTTGCTGACATGTACTTAACTCCGTTGGCGCTTTTTGTTCCCCATGTTTGCATATTTTTACCATGTCAGAAGAGAGATCATTAGAGTCACAACACAATTAATTTTGTCAATGCCAACTCATAAGCTATGTTTGGTATGAGGTATTGAGAGGTTGGGACTGAAACTAGTATTGAAGAAACCCACAGATACAATATTTGGTATGATGAATTCTTTAATCCTTGGTTTGATGAAACCCATGCAGATGGGATTAATGAAACCCATGAAAGAGATGGTATTGAAAATTTAAACTTGAGATTGAATTTTCTTAGACTAAAATACCCTCCATTTTTTTAATACGTATGGCTTTCCACCTTCCTCTTCTCCGATCTCGCAGCCACCACCTAATGCGAACACGTTCTCCTTCTCCAATCTTGCAACCATAAACTTTGGATCTCACAACCGTCACTACGTTCTCCTTCTTCGATCTCACAACCGCCAACCTCTAGATCTCACAGCCACAACCTCTGGATCTCACAACCATCGTTGCCTTCTCCGTTGCCGATCTCTTAGCCACCGTCGTTTAGATCTCGAAATCACTTTTGTCTCCTTCTCTCACAGGTCCAAACTCGATCTTCCTCTCTCAAAAGATGCACAGTCATGAAATGGAGAAAATAAGCCTATGCTGCCATGGTTTTTGAGAAGGTGTTCCAATTTTTTTTTTAATTTAAGGATAGTATAGTCTTTTTATACTTTATATTTAATTGTAAAATAAAATAAAAATAATTATTCTCTTTTAGTATTACCTCATACCAAACATAATCTTAAAATCTCATTCCCACTACCAATTCCTCTACCAATCTCAATACCAATCCCTCTAAATTAAGGCTTGCATACCAAACAGGGCCATAGTTTTTATTTTATGTACATTTTTAAAACTATAGAAACTAACAATATAGACTAATCAAACTAAAGGGAATGTGAACAACAAAATAAAATTATAGAGACTAAAAATCAAAATACAATTATAGAGACTAAAAACCAAAAGCAATCAAAATACAAAAATCTATTATTGCATTTTCCCTCCTTATTACGTTCACAAACAAGATATATGATAGAAATAATAGCTAGAAGTTTCAACGCAGGGAGAATATGCAGAGGATCTCAACATAGCATGCTTCCGTTACATAGATGAAGAGAAACACAATTCAAAGAGGCCATATAATCTTTAAGGTATCACCAATGTGTTGTAGAGATCCTGGGGATATTCTTTCAACTTCAAAAATTGCGTGGAAGGACTTGGTCATAAGATCCGTCATGATGGAAATGAATTGTACCTCACTGCCTCTAAATAGTTGCGCAAAACTAAATTTCAGCTAAAGCTCATGAATTGAGCTAAAATGAAAAAGCAACCTCAGGACGACTCTGTCACAGTCCGCAGAAATAGGCAAAAATGATAATACATTACAAATTTCGTTTGAGTTCAGGAGATGTGGATTATTGAAATAAACATTTCAATAATTATTTAGGAGGACAACGTATATCTGTTTACCTTCATTCCATAACAACTTTTGCACCAAGAGCTTTCAATTTCTCTATTATCCCTTCTCCCTCTTCCTTTGAAACACCTTTCTTTATAATTGAAGGTGTTTTTTCCACTAAATCTTTCGCTTCCTTCAGACCTAAATCAGTAAAGCCACGGACCTCCTTGATGATTTTAATTTTTGAGGTTGCTTCATAGGACTCCAATTTCAATTCAAACACAGTCTTTTCTGGCTTCTTCTCCTCCTTTGCTGCAGCTGGTGCCTTCGCTGCCAGTCCAGCTAAGTTAGCAGCTCCTGGTTTCATAAATCCCACAGTAGGCATCTCCTTCAATCCCATTTTGCTCATCAAAATGGGGCCCAATTCTGCAGCTTCAGCAAGTGTTAGAGATGCCATTTCGTCAACAAGCTTGAAAACTCTCTCTGATGGAGGACTTCGATGCTCAGTAGGATCAAATGTTGCAGGATCAAAATCAGCTGGGAGCCTTCTTTGGTCAATTTCTACTTCCTCTACATCCTCATCCTCTTTCCTAGCAGCTTGACCAAAATTTCTTGAAACCAAATTTAATTTACTTGGAATAATCCCTACTGAACCCAAATGAAGAGGTTGTCCATATAACCCATTAGGTAAATGCTGCCTTATTCTTAAAAGCAAACTCATTCTGAGCTTGCAGGATTGTTGACTCTCTCAAAATTGCAAATCAGTTAAGTAAGACATACATTGTGAACTCGTACTGCAGGAGGTAAACATCTATCAGAAACAAGCAGAACATGAATATTAATACAGACCAAGGAATCTTGCCCACCCAACAGCTTGTGGACATATAGTTGATGAACTTCAGATTTCAAGTGACATTCATTTGAAGATCAAAAAAACCAGAAAGAAAAAATCACATAATATGATGTACCAAATGTTATGGAGGATATCTTACAATTCACCCTTATTTTTGGCCGTAAATGATTTCCTCACCCCTCCCTGTGATTTGATGTATGACATCCAATGCCCCCTATGATTTGTTCAATCGCCACTTAACCATCATGTGGTATCTCACATCTGAAGTTCAATAAAATTATTACTGTGACTGTTAAACCAACAACATTTCTCCATCTCTAATTTATTTACGCAGTAGTACATTGAATGTTTTTGCAGCATGTTAAGGTTACATCTAAGATTACGTAACTGTTCAAAGTATATTAAGATATGCTTCCAACTTATTTTCACTAAAATTAATACCAAAAACACCACAGAAAAGTTTAAACAGACACTTTAAGACAGGATACAAACTGTTTTTGGGCCTAACAAATGAAGGTAAACTGTAATTTACCTTAATAGAAACCAGAAAGGAGAAATTACACAAGCAAACCCCGCAGTCTCAAACTTCGATATGGTCTAGTATAAAAGTAAAACAATAACACTCAAGAAAGATTATGTCAAGCTCAAAACACTAAATCCAATCGAATAACCTTCCTACAGTTCAAACTTCACGTTTGAGAATTCAATTAAGCATTTAAACGAGAGAGAGAAAATCAATCCATAACTTGGATCTTTTAAGGTCACATGTGAATCACCAACTACAGCCGCCGTGGTCATACATGGCACATAAATTAAGTATTCCCGTTGAAAAAGTGCAAAAAAAGGGCAGCAAGATCCAGAAAGTGAATAAACCCGCTAATTTCAAATCCATAATCTATAGAGAGCATGGAAGAGAGCTTCAGGGTGAGCTCAGGTGCAATGAATATAGACGCCAGATTGGGGCTTCATTTCAGAGCCCAAAAGCATCTTTGGCAATAGGAAAGCAAAGAGAGATGAACAAAGGAAAGTTACCCGAAGCAGACGGCAGAAAGATCGACGGCCGCCGAAGACAATGGCAGTTCAGCTTCTTCCGCCAAAGTACCGGAGAGAAGAGTGAGCTTCGCCACCGCACGTGCGAGTGAACAAGGGTTTAAGGGTTTTCAGGTCGCCTCGTGGGCCTCAGGATGCCGATTCTTAGCCCTTTTAATGTCCTAAATTTTTTTAGTGTAATATTTTTCTAGCGATTAAAAACAGTATCTTGACACTAACAAAAATTAATTTTAACGGCTAATTAACTATTAAAAATAACATAATAATTAGAAGAAGGACTAAAAACTTTCAAGGAAAACAAATATCTTATTTAAGAGAGATTCAAGATGGGTTAAAGAATAAAAATGAAAAAAATAATTTACTTTATTGACATAAAAATATATTTTTTGTCTTTTCTTTAATATTATTTTCTTATCTTTTCTTAAACAAGCTCATAATTTTTAGTTTTTATTTTTTTTCCTCAATTATTTGCTCAAACTCTGAGTTTTAATTAATATAATTAATTTTTATAATTTATTAAATTAAAAATTACAAGATTGCGATGTTTCAGGTGATTTTTTTTTTTTTTTTTAAGAAATGACTTATTTTGAGTAAAGAGAAGTAAATTGTTCGGGCAAAAAAAAAAAAAAAAAAGTTGTTTCCCACCCTGCAGTCTGCGGTATTCAGTCGTGCGGGGGTTTGGCGGTAGCTCCAGTGTCGTCTCTCTCGCAATCTTCACAATTTTGATACATTTCTCGCTCTCCGTCCTTAATTTCACAGTCTCTCAATCCTTCTCTCGCTAATCTGCCAGACTTTCAGGTGATTCAGAGGGAGGCTTATCGAGTCCTCACTTGGAGTGACTCAAATCAGACATCGGCGGCGGCGCTCTTTCGTCAGGTACAGAAGTAGACACTTGATATGATCTATTTCTGTTCTGTACAAACATTGTATATACATGTTGTGTGTGATTGTGTGTTCTCCCAAAGCTGTAGACGTTGTGTATGGTCATGTCTTTTCCCTCGCCGAACAAAATGAATTTTTGCATTCCCAGTTCTTACTAATTCAGAGCTTTTCTTGTAGCATTGTAACAAGATTATTGTTTTAATGTATATACTTGTCACAAGATTGGAGCATCACTGAAATAGTTTGGGCGGCAGCCGCCAAGGGGAGTACCGGAATGGGGACTGCTCTTGCTAGCACAGCACAATGTCTTCGAAACTCTCATATCTTCAGATTCTCATTCAACCTCTTCAGAAACTTGAGCTCTGCTTCGTCTTCGGCTAGTGCTGCTTCTCAGAACCCTACCACACCTAAGAAATCCAAGAGAAGAAAGAAGAAGAACTTGTTTGAGGTTGCTCAGTTCTTGCCAAAGTGGGGAATCGGATACCACATGGCCAAGACTCACTGGACTGACGTCTCTTACGAAATCACCAAAATTAATCTCTACAAGGTCTTTTTCTCCCCTTGAATTTACCCTTATCCAAAAAATGCACTTTCGCATTGATTTGTTCAAAGACTTACATTTTATATATCTACCGCATTTTCAGGATGGAAGGCATGGCAAGGCATGGGGAATAGTTCATAAAAATGGTCAGTCTTAAGTTCCCTATCAGCATTTAAAAAAGAGAGGGAGCACTACGACTTCATTTGTTTTTTCCTCCCTCCCTCCTTTTTCCTTACCTTATTATCATTTTAGTTTTGCCCATGATATTGCGAAAGGTTTCAATGCTAGAGTACTTGGTTATAGGATCATCTCTGCTTGTATATAAGTTGATCCGAACAATTGTTGAAGGCAGCGGTTATATGCTGCAGTAGTATCAATTGTACTATAGGTCACGATTTCCTTTCTGGTGGATGAATTGCCTCATTGTTAGTGATTATGACTCCACCACTGTTTTTTCTCTGCGATATTATTTGGACTGGGGAGTTTTTAAACCCTGGATGCGTAGGAGTTGTGGTTGCAGATTAATACGGATTTTTTCCAAGGCACGTATGTTGCTTGAAACCGCAAAATTTTGAGTATTCAACATGTTTATGGATTTGGATTGTCCAAACATATTTCCTCAGCCTAGAAGCTGAGTTAGCTCCAAAGTTACTTTCTTGGTGAGGAATTAAATTATATTTAGACATTCTGAATGGAATCCCAAAGATGCATTTATTAAGTTGTTTCTTTTAGATGCAATTTTGGTGGCTGTTGGTTCTGATTTGTACAACATGACATTTGTAATTATGTGTCTCAACCTTTGTTCCTTGCTTAATGTTTCATGCTACATGGTATTCTTTTTCTCAATTGAAGTCTTTGCAACCTACGGTATTAGCAATATCTCCTGCCAATCTCTTTAGCAGAATCTATAAACCACAGAGAAATAACTGAATAGTAACCAATAAACTTCTGAATTCCTTCTGTTTAACATTTTTTACCATTATACGTGTATGATGTTTCATTCTCACCCAGGACAGATGTATTATTCATCTTGATGCAATCTTAAATTTATTTATGTTGTCTAAATGGTTGTATTGATGCTTAATTTAGCTTATTTTTGTTGTTTATGGGTTTGACTATGGGGTTTGTCCAAGATAATTTCCTACTACCAAGCATGTTAGGTGAATATTGCAAAATAAGATGGCAACTCAAGAATAATGTGATTATTCTGTCTGAAAAAAGGAGTAATGCCTGGTAATTTCATGCCGGAAGACAAAAGCATTGCACTTAGCCATTCAATGATTGTATTGCGCCAAAACAGGCTCGTTTTGTACAAGATTGTGTCACTTTAACATTCAATTTCTGAAATACTTGGTAGAATACCGAATTTGAAAGTGTGAGGGCACTATTATTGTGTGATGCTCTTATTGCTAAATACTATTGCCTTTTTTGAGAAAACTCTCTAACTTGTTACTTTATTTTAATTCTCTTAAACTAGATTAAGAGCATCTTACCATAGGTTTTATTATTTAGGAGAAAAAGTATACTAAAGATTTGTCTATGTAGTTTTTGTGCTAGCTTTATGTATAAAAATTTTAGAACTGATGTCATCTAAAGGCGTAACGTTGTAATGGAAGCATTCCTTTAGTGCTAAAAAAGTGATTTGTCCATGTCATTGGGCTTTTCTAATATGTTACCACATATTGCAGGCTTGCCTGCAGCAGACGCTCCAAAGAAAATCAGTGGAGTTCACAAGCGCTGCTGGAGGTACATTAAAAATGCTGTAAAATCACCAGAAAGCTCACCATACTCAACAGGTTCAGCAGACAGTGGCCTCAAAGTTGAAAGCCAAGCAAGTTAATGTTTTCCTTTGATTCTGTGTGGTTTAGAATTGGTTTTTGCTTGAAATAGACATTTTTCAGGTGCGCGCTAGTATGTTTATTTAACATTCGAATACATCTCACATATTCATGTAAGGTTTCTGCCTTTTAACGCCCCACATTTAATGAACTCTACATCATGAACCATGTTATGAATTGTTAAAGATTGAGTTCGATGGGTATAACCTTGTTCCATGTTGGATATAACTGCATCTGAAAAATAAATGAAATAAGGTCATTACAGATCACCTTAATTCTGCCTTCAACTTATTGAAAATTGAAGCTAGGTCTGTGTATCGCAAAGATTTTTTTAGTTTTAGGTAGTGGATACAGTCTGGGCATAAGTATCTTGCTTGGGGTAAATAGAGGAGTCTCAAAGATTGGGTCTGGATAAACTGCCTATCATGATCTCCTTTTAAAAGAGGTGGTTTAGGAAGGGTGACTTTCTTTGTTTTTTGTTTTGATGAAAACAGATCTATTAATAAAAAATTACCAGCTAGTCAATAATATGTAGTAATCTCCTTTTATTACCCACCACTTTTGTATACGATGAGGTTATGATAACTCATAATCCAGTCCTGTGCGTGTGAAGCAAAACAAATTGAGCTTAGTAATTAGCTTCCTATGCATAAGGTTCAAAGAAACGTTATGAATTGAATCACATGATCACGTTTATAGCTTTCATGAACCTTTTGAAAATTGTTGTCCCTACTCAATTGAGGCCCACATATAATTTTTATGATTTCGGCTATAGCCGAAGGGCAGTTGCCTTTGTCTGCATTGAACCTAAACGACCCAATCTGCATTATTGACTTTTACCAGTCCTCCATATATGCTACTTCCATCTTTATATGATCCATCTATTATGATCTATATCTAATCTTGCTTCATCATTTCCTGGTCTTACCCATTATTCTTGATTCAATTTTGTCTGCCTTCTCATTGTGTAAGCCAATTGCAAAATGTTCAGATCCATCTTAGCCTTCTGCAGCATTGCAATTCCTGAGCTGGTTTCTCTTACATTGTGAGCAATTCCAGTTCCTCATTTTAAAATGCTCACTTACATTTTGAGCACCTTATATCCCAACGGTCATGTCCGAAAAGTACATTCCATGGAACCTATTTAGTGGGGCCTTTAGTTGCAGCTTTTCTCAAATTCCACTCGATTCATTCGTCTTTTCTTCCTCACTTTCCTCCTCTTCATTTTCTTTCTCTCTAATTTTCTCTTCTAGGCCTATCACAGGATTAAGATGCCATCAAATTTGATCAAATTTGATTTGGCTCTCTTTAGTTGGTACTTTTGAAGCAATACTGTTTCTTGTTCTAAAATAGTTCCTCTTTTTTCTTATATATATATATATATATATATTGAATGTTGTCCTCCAGCATGCAACTCTCTCTTTCCTTTTATTAATGAATTGCTAGGTTATCAAAAACAAAAAATAAAAGGGAAAAAACCTTTGTTTCTCTCCTCTTGATCATTTTTTTCTTTCTCAACTTTGTACTATATAGTCGTGTTACTATAACGATGGAGTCATGGGGCGTAATCAATCATCAGTCATTATATAATCTTTATAGTGAATCGAAGACTTATGGACAATGATATCACCTGCTGAGCATGACTTATATTGAATTTGAACATTATTTGTATAAATTTTTTAAAATATTTATTTTATTTATAAGTACTCCCTTCGTTAAAAAATATAAGTATTTTTAATTAAATTTTATCTTCTTATAAAGTAGTTGCATACTTTCAAATTAAATCTATCTTTACATATTTATTCCTATTAAATATTTTATAATATATATAAAGTCGTTCATCAATAGAGATAAAAAAAATGATGATTATACTTCAAAATATTAAAAATATCTTATATTTTTGAATATCTAACTGTTAAAAAATATCTTATATTTTTAAACGGAGGAAGTATAATTTATCATGGTAGATTATTTATTTAATTTGATCTTAATTTAATTTTAAATAGGTCTCGTTTTTAAAATACAGCCGTGCACGAGACTAGGAGTGGTTTTCCTCTACCACTTGACTGACTTTGCTTTAGAGATTACAATCTCATTAAACATATTCAATTGTTTAAATTGAATGAAATTTGAAACAAAAAAAAATTATAAACGCATCATATTTTACATAAATTATAACATTTACATTCAAAGATACAATGCTAACATGAAATTCGACACAAAACCTTTTTTTTTAAGTATATTCATATTTTTCGTATTTCATTACTTAATATTATGGGAAATTGAAATATCACCATCATCTATTTAACCTGATTTGACTCCTTATTATGTAAGATTCTTATTATAATATATGCTTTCTCTGATGTTGACTTTTATATCTATTGTTAAAAAAAAAAAGCACTTTGATAAAATATCAAATATGTATTTTTTTTTTTGCCAAAGTCTTTAGTCCTATATATTAGTCGTCTTTTAAAAATATAATATAATTTATTTTATAAGTCATTAATTTGATGGCATTGTTTTATTTTAAATGAAAATTTTTAAACTATCCTTAAAAAATAAAAACAAGAGAGATGGAAAAAATAATACTCCTTTTGTCTTAAATTATAAAATAATTTTAGATAAAATTTTTTATACCAATAAATTTTATTAAATATATTTAATAACTTTATCTTTTCAAAATAAAAATATTAATTTTTAAAAAATACCTCTTATTTGATATATTGAAAAAAATAAAAATTAATTATAAAAAATAATATTAAAATTAATATATTTAATAAAATTTTAATCTACTCAAAATATTTTATATTTTATTATAAAAAATTTTTTTTAAAAGCGTTTTATAATTGGAGATGAAAAAAGTATTATATTATTTGTTCATTTTTTATTTTTATTTAAAGATTTTATTTATATTTTATTTATAATATTTTATTATATTAATATTGATGAAGTTAATAAAAATAATTTATAAATAAATTAAAAAATATGCAATAAGTTTGATTTAAAAAATTGAGGTATAGTGTCTGAGAAATAGAGGAGAAAGACCGGCAGTTGGAAAGTGGGGTCCACATACGGGTCAATCATGCCACGTTGTGCAGATGCTGCCTTTAGCATCAGCGTCAACGACCTCGTAGCCTCCACGTCCAATACGCGATATTTCTAATTTCTAATTTCTTCTTCTTTTGTTAATGCAATATTTGTGTTTCACTGTTTTTATTCCAACTTTCATAACAAAATTTTGAAAAAAAAAATGAACAAAAATAAAAAAATTTTTGGCAATAAATGTATAAAAGAAAAGAAAAGGAGAATCGATCCTTGGACTTTTGAGAGATGAGGATAATTTATGTGTTTTTATATGAGATAATCAGGCAAGCCCACTCTTATCGAGCAAAAATTTAAGCACGCGCTATTCAAGCGCGTTTCACTCGGTCGTTACGGTTGAATGTTTGAATGTTTGTTTATCGAAAGTAATCGTTTATCAGAAATGAGCGTCATTTCCAAAAAATCGATATTTCCAACCTTGACATTTGATACATAATGATTCACATTTACAAATTCTAGCAAATATTACGATAGTTGTCGGAACAGAATCGTTCGCACATTATCGGAATCAGACCTGTCTTTCAGTTTCCTGAATCTCCTCTTGTAATCTCCGTTGAATCTGCCGTTTTCTCCAAAGTTTCAGGCTCTCAACTTCAACGGTTTTGAAAACCAATTCCCTCACAGACCCATTTAATATTTTCTGGCTTTCCAACTAACTTGATATTTCAATCCTTCGCCACAAACCCAGAAACCTTTTAAGGAAGCTTGGATTTACACAAGACAAGGGGTCTTTTTTCTCCTTGAGAGGATAAGACTATAACCTTATCTGTAAAGTTTTTGGTTGAGAATTATTCTTTTCCGACCTGTTTTGGGCCCATCATTGCAACTAATGACTACGCCCTGGTTTGTTTGTTTTTCTTGCTTCTATTTTAAACTGTATATTATTCTCTGTGCAAGATGATCAAATCAAAAGATTACATCTTGATAGTTTCTTAATTTTTGTGTTCTGTTCATGTTGTGATTGATACTAGCTATACCTCAATAACTACATGCAGAGAAGCAGCAGATCAATGGCTGTTCTCAGATTGTAGTGGTATTGCTCTATTTGGGGATTGAAATATTGGAGGAAGAAAATGTCTTTAAGGCAGCATAATAATGTTGAACTCAACGGTGTTTCAGGTTTGAACTTTTTATTTTTTTCACTTCTTCTTTTTCTTCTTAGAATTGTTTATAGATTGTTTGGATAATTGTTTTGCGTCTAAATGATATTCATAGAATCATGCGTTGATTACTTATTTGCATAAAAAATATGGTTATGAAAAGTCCCTTTCTATAGTACTCTGAGACTACAGAATATTTGGACAATTTTTTCTTTTTTCTTTTTAAATAGGAATGTTTGTAGAATCATGTGCTGATTGATTGTTCACAGCAAAAATCTGGCTGCTATGAGAAGACCTATTTCTACCTTGATTCTGAGTTGATAGGAAATCGTTATTGCACCATCTGGCAACTTAAAAGCTTGAATAAGTGATGGTTGTTTCATTATCTTAATTTGACTTGGACTTTAGAACTACGAATAGAGTCTATTTCCTAAATATATTTTCCACCTTTCTATAATGAAAACATGATTATTGTGGTGTTTGGATAAAGTTCACTACTACGAATATAGTCTATTTCCTAAATATATCTTCCACCTTTCCATGACGAAAACATGATTAATGTGGTGTTTGGATAAAGTTCACTACTACGAATAGAGTCTATTTCCTAAATATATCTTCCACCTTTCTATAATGAAAACATGATTAATGTGGTGTTTGGATAAAGTTCACTACTGAAAGATATAGAGAAAAGTCAAGTGTGAAAGCAAATGTTTCTTCAACAAGAGATTGGCCTCTCATATACATCTTTTCAGCGGTGCTGATATTAAATCTACTAGTCCTTCAAACAAAATGCAGTTACATATATAAAGCCCCAAAAAGTAAATAACAATTCAGATACTCCAGGAATATGAAAGTTGGCTTGTATGCTGTGAAAGACGATCGGATTGTTAGCTAGAGTATGTAAATGAAGAAAGGGCATTCAACATGGCTTAGCGTGAATACCATAGCATGCAAGTGATGGTCAAAGTTTATAACTGTTTCATGGGGATTATGAATTAGTTGTTTTGATTCTAATCCTCCCTTGTCAAAAGATGCTTCTTTCTTCACAAGTATGAATCTGGATGTGATTTTAGAGTCGCATCTTTCTCCTCCATTTAATACTTCCATCATTTAATGGCATGAAATTGAGTTTTCTGATTTGGGTTATTGTGACTGTGCAAAATTGGAAGTCGCTTGCTGAGATGTAATATCTTGTTGCCAATTATTGGTAAGCTAACTGATGAATGAAATGTTTCAGCTGTGGGTTCAGGATGTTGCCTTTATGATCTTTTGTGTGCTGAAACTTCAAATTTGCAATCCCAAAAGAATCAGCAGCTACCTTCATCCGGTACTATTTGTTTGATATTATTTAAATCCTGTTCAAAGTATTTACTTGCCTTAATGTAACTTTATCTGAGTGATTAATTATCAATTCAAAGAAAGAAAAAATTAACATGATAAAAATCTTGTGAAATATTATTTATTACATGTTATATTGTTTATCTTCTCATTTTGTTTGCTAATTGAGTAGCACACCTTTTTTGTTATCAACTTTCAGAATGATGTGTAATGCTTTGTCCTGTTTTCTCAAACGCTTTCAGGCTCATTTATAACATAGTTTCAAGGGAAGTTCCTGTCAATCTGCACCACACTATCTGTATTCAGATGGATCATATTAATGTGTTTCTCAATGGATGATCTAGCATAATACAACACCCTTAAGTAATGCATGATATGTTATATAATTTGATTATTGAATTTCTGACAGCTGGGAATGAAAATTGCTTGAGAGCCTGATTTTGGTGTATATAATTTCTCAAACAGGATAATCTATAGCCTTGGCTTAATGTGTCACTCATCTGATCCTGAACTCAATTATTATTGTTTCAACTTTCAAGACAAACTTTATTGCATGAATCTTTCTTACATAATCAATTATAGGTCAGATCTGATTTCTTTTTCTTTGTGTTTCAAACTATTAGGTCCTCTAGAAAGGTTAGAGAAGTTGATGCATGAAGCCGGGAACAAGCATTGTGCTGATTGTGGGTCTCCAGAGCCAAAATGGGTGTAAGTATCATCCTGATTCTTACAGAATTTGGTCTGCATGATTTTTCAGTTCTCATGCTTAAATATCGTCATTTTAGATTATAGACTTGATGCTGTTTTAATTTCATCCGTGACAATAATTTTCCTTACTTGTCTACATTAACCACAAGTCTAATGTCCCTTTTTGAAAAGATTATTGGTACTTCACTTGTAACAGAATTTCTATTTTTTTTTCAACATGACAAAACTATGTACTTTAGGTTATGCATAAGGAGACTATACCGAATTCTAGAATTACAATGTACTTTAGGTTATGCATAAGAAAACTATAAGGAAACTATGTACTTGTAACAGAGTTTCTATGTTTTCAACACGACAAAACTATGTACTTTAGGTTATGCATGATGTTACTTTTATCAGAAAATATTAACTGATATTTTCTGCATTTTTTGAAAATCAGATCTGCAAACATTGGAGCATTTATTTGCATAAAGTGTTCTGGCATACATAGAAGCCTAGGAGTCCATATATCAAAGGTATGTTCACAACATGGCCTGTAAATGAGTCTATCGGTCATAGTTTAATTGCCTTTGCATCTATATCATCTACTCCCTCCATTCCAAATTATAAAATAATGTTGGAGGAACTTTTTGTGTTAAAATATAAGACAATTAGAGAAAATGATATTGTTGCATACTCCCTCCAGTTCTTATTATAAGGTACTTTCAACTGTTTCGCACATCTTAAAAAAAGTTAGTTTTTTTCTTGATGTCATAAAAAGTGACCATGTATTTTCATTTTTACCTTTGGCTTTAAATAATAATACAACTACATTAAATACCTTTACGCTAATAAAAAAGAAGTAAAATTAGGAAAAGTGATTTGATTATTATAAGTGTCCTATATTTTAGACCAAAAATTACTTCTAAAAGGTATCTTATACATAGGACTGGAGGGAGTAATGATTAATTGTGTAGGGGTATTTTTAAAAGTTTATAGTTTTATTTTGAAAAAATAAGTTGGTAAAGTATCATTATAGTATTTTATAGGTATTCGTAATCTTGTTTCAAATTGTCTTATAATTTGGGATAAAAAGAGTATTTTTCAAGGCAGTAGTCCTTTTCTGCCAAATAAATTGATGAGTTAAGATTGCATACAATTGACGAACATCTGTTATTGAAACCTTTTCCAGGAATAAACGGATGAAACAATTAGAATTTGGTCTCTCAAAACTAAAAGGCAATTTCATGACAATATCTGAATGGAATTTAGTACTTAGCACATACTGCTTACATGTATTTACAGCCACATTTGCAATTTTAAATTCTAATGTGATCTTCTTACCATTACAGGTTCTATCACTGAAGCTAGATCAATGGACAGATGATGAAGTTGATGCGCTGGCAAAGTTGGGAGGAAATAAATCAGTAAACAAGAAGTATGAAGCTTTCATTCCTAGTTATATAAAAAAGCTAAAGCCAACTTCCTCCATTGAGGAGCGTTCTGACTTTATTAGGTAATTGAAGAGAAGACTATCATACGTTTTTAATGAGGAACTTCACTATTCTCATTCATAAATGTATGTTTTGGTTGCTCAGGAGAAAATACGAGTTGCTGCAATTTATGGGGTGTGATGAACAATTGTCTTGCCCCTTTATGCCACAACAGAGCAGTTCCTCATGTATCATGTCTCATCTAGACAAGAAAAATTATAATAAACAAGCAAACAAAAATCGCATTGGGAACACATTTCGCAACAGCTGGGGAAGAAAAGAACCTGATATTAATAATAAGGCTTCAAAGAAGAGCAACTCATTGGTATTGTCTTTTCTTCTTTTATCAATACTGGCTCTAATTGGCAGGCCTTCTTTTTGGCTGAATCAATTCTATGAAGATGCTATAACATTTTTGTTTCCTCTTTGATTGAACAGTTATGAAAAGTACTTCACATTTTAACACTTTGAAGATTTAGCTGAGTTATGGGAAATCCTTTTTCAGTTGTCTCCTAGCTGCATAATCTTGATGGTCCAAATAAATCATGTTGGGCTTCTTGCATATTATACTTAAGGGTAATATAATATTAAAAAAGCATATGAAAGGAGCATTTAGAGTTTGGATAGTTGTCGTCCTGATAAATCATGTTGGGCTTCTTCCATTTTATACCTTACTCAAAATATTGAAACAGAAAAGACTGTTTAGTCAATGAAATATTAAATTCTTATCTGAATGTGAATACTGATGCTGAATCTTATTTCTCTTGATGTACTTTTTACAGGCAGGTATGGTGGAATTTGTTGGGTTGATAAAGGTTAATGTGGTTAAAGGCACTAACCTGGTAGTCCGAGATGTAGTGACTAGTGATCCTTATGTCACTCTTTCTTTGGGCCACCAAGTGAGCATCCTTACCACTTAACTGGTTGGAATTATGTATTAAAACAAGAGAAATGAGATATGTTGATAATGTAACTTTTTGAATATTTGCTTTTGCAGTCGGTAAAGACACGAGTTATAAAGAACAATTTAAATCCTGTCTGGAATGAGAGCCTAATGTTGTCAATTCCTCACAACATTCCTCCTCTTAAAGTGGTAAGTTCAATTCCTCACCAATTTTTGTTAAGAATCACAAAAGAAGGATGATATTGGTTTGCTAGTACAATAATCATAATTTTATTAGCAAGTGGTCAAAAATTCAATCTTTATTGCCTTCATTCTTTTGTCATTTTTGAAATTTCATCTCAAGATTTGGCAATTTTGTATGCTGTCCATACTTCATGCTCAAAAGATTTTCATGTTAGAGAATGTGTTGGAGATTATATCTAATACTGGCAACTAATTTATATTTAAGGCAAGCTAGGCCACAAATGGATAGTGAAGTACTAAATACTAATGTTCTTTCAGGATAGTTTTTGCTATTCATAAGGCGCGAACTTGAGACTTAACTTTAGGGATATTGAGTCCCTCCCACTCCCACTCATCTGAACTACATTTGGTAACATTCATGAATATTTACTTAATAACTATGAGAAATCCAGAGCCAGATGTAGTTCAGATGAGTGGGATATTGAGTCCCTACTCGTGTTTGCGAAGGCCTGTGAGAAAAATTAAAATAAAAAATATTTATTTATCCCTGAGATTAGCTCCATTTTAACCTTTTTCTTGGTAATTTTTCCCATGTTTCTTACTTGTCATGCATTCATGTTATTTGTGCAGCATGTGTATGACAAAGATACATTCTCAACTGATGATTTCATGGGAGAGGCTGAAATAGACATCCAGCCCCTACTCGCAGTTGCAAAGGCCTTTGAGAAATCCAGAGCCAATGAATCCCTAGAGTTTGAAAAATGGACGGCGAGTTTGGAAAACACGCTCGTTAAGGACGGCGTAATCTCCCTCGAAGACGGGAAGATCAGACAAGAAATATCTGTAAAGCTGCAGAATGTGGAGAGAGGGGAGCTGGAAGTTGAGCTTGAGTGTCTTCCTCTCACTCAGTAGCTGAACTAAACTCTCATTTTGGAGCCATGTATTGTAGGAGATAGTCTTTTTCTTGTACATCATTCTTTAGAGATTACTTTGTAGAAACAATTGAATGAATTGTTAATAGATCTTGTTTGGCATGGTTCTTAAGTTCACTCCTTCTTGCCTTCTTTTATATGCCCTGGTCATTTTTGGTCCTTCCTGCTGAACAAATTTTCAACACTTTCTCAAATTTATCTTTTTGGGATGGATCTCAAATTCACAAGATTTTCACTATCCAATTCGTATGTTTGTGTGTGTAGACACAGGGAGAGAGAGAGAGAGAGGAGGAGGGAGGGAAATAAAAAGTAGTAAAAATTTACTTATAGGAGTGAGATTTAGTAAAAGAAGTTAATTTTTCATAACATAATAAATTAAGGTTTGAATTTTTGTTAAAAGAAATTCTCACAAATGCTCAATTCCGTTTCACACAGAATTACTTTTAATAAGAAAAAAATTCGAACCCTATTTCTCTTTTTTGAAGTGTACACTTGCACCATCTGCGGAAAATTTAAATAGATTGCTTCTTTATTCATTGGAGTGAAACTTCGGTGCACAAGTAGGGTCCTTTGCACTTGTATAAGATATAATCCTCATTTTTAATCTTTTTTACCGAAGCCCAAGTTTCTTCTCTCGTCACTCGCGCTTGATCTCGACATAAAGCAATTATGTAAAAATTTGTTGGATTATGGAAGAGACTAGAGGGAAGGGCTATACGGTCCTCAAAATTTCTCTACTTTTTATATTATCCCTCAACTAGATCATCGAGTTCTGATATGATCACTGATATTATTAATTTTAAAAATGATTTTTAATTATATTATTCATTTTAATGTATCTTTTATTTAATATATATGTACTTCACTCCAAAGTAATGATTTTTCTTCGTTCTAAAATGCAAAAAAAAAAAGAAAATTGATATTATGTCGTTCATTAAATTATATTTAATAATAATTGAAATTAGATAATATTTATGAAAATGTAGAGAACTTTATAACAGTCATGCCCAGGTTGCAAATCACTTTTTAGTAATTTTGACAGGTATGATTCCTTTGTTTATCATGTTTTATTAGCTAGAAGTGGATTTTTTTTTTTTTTTTTTTTTGTCTTCACGAGAAGTGGTTGTTAAATGCACCGTAAAGAAACTTATAATGATATAAATTCGAGTACTATTATCAAATTTAATTAAGAATTAGAATCACATTATTTATAGTTTTTATATTAACTAAGTTGTGTGTACCCTATGCGTGTGTGTGAGAGATTTTCATTGATTCATTCAATAGACATAAACTTTTCGTTCGATGCGTGATGATTACATAAATTTATATGGTTATAAAATTTATAGCAAGTTGTAAGGATAATTTTGAAAGCCAATAAAATCTAAATCAAAATCAACTACATACGTATTCATGTAAATTTATGTAAATAGCATCATTTATAAATAATAAGTAATATTTTCTCCATCCCATATAAAATATTTTTTCTTGATAAAATTACACACACCAATAAAATTAATTAAATAAATTTTATAATCTTACTCCTTCCGTTCAAAAATATAAAATATTTTTTGAGAAGTTAAATGTTAAAAAAATGTAAGGTATTTTTAGTTTTTTAAAGTGTAATCATTACATTTTTTTTAAAAGTACTCCATTGATAATGATTTTATATTTATTATAGGATATTTAATAGGGATAAATATAAAAATATAGGGTTAGTTTGAAAGTAGGTAATTATTTTATTAAAGGTGAGATTCAGTTAAAAATACCTTATATTTTTTCATGGAAAGAGTATATTTTAAGATATAAAATCACTCCTAAAAATATCTTATAAATTGAAACTAACAGAATAATATAATTTATTTTAAACTCTACGTGGCACATAACTTCTTCTTTTTTCTTAAGATCGCAATACTTCTAGTTTTAACAATGCAATAAAAGAAATATACTATTGTTCATTGGTTTAATGCCTTGGGATCCACCGGCATCATATGTCGTGAATCTCTCATGTAATATGTAAAATGGGTGTAATTGCATTGCCTTTTTTTTTTGGGTAAAATGTAAATGCATTAATAAAAAACAATAATGCAACAAAAAAACAAGACATTGCATTGCGTGAATCTTCATTAATTAGCTTATATCAAAATAAAGTATACAATACTGAACAGAGATCACATCTATTTGCATCCTTTCTTGATTAAAAAACAAGGAAAAGCAAAACCTTTTCTCATAGATAAAGACTGAATGGTTTAAATTTAATTATTTTATAAAACAATTATTATAATATTACATTAAAAAGAAAATTTAAACAATTAAAATTTGACCTAGATAGTTTTAACTGCAATGAAATAAATAAAAAATTTAATAACATTATACAACGTGTAGATCAAATTTTAACAATTTAAATTTATTTATTTATTTATTTTTATATGTTATTATGATGATCATTTTATAAAATACCATTCATTTTATCATTTAAAGGTAGAGATGGGATAAGGAGAACAAAAGGAGAAAGAGAATGAGTGGAGTATCAAGGATAAGAAGACAACACTATTTTTTCTACTTTCTTCTACTTCTCCCTCTAGCTCCATCCTTGTAAATTTCAGAAGTGGTTGTTGTCAAGGGATGTATAGACGTACAAATTTCTTCTACATTCTTCAATATAAAAGTAATGATGGTAACAATTTCGACCTGCAATTCATAAGTAAAATGACATGAATACATTTTCTTTTTCCATCTTTTATGTGATATAACAAGTCTTATCTCACCATATGAAATGAATCAGCTACATATTAGAAAATCATCTTCTTCACCAACAAAATTATTATTATTATTATTATTATTTTGCGTTGTATTATCCATACCAAAAATATCTGAAATTTACATTACAACTTACAAATGATATAGTAAATCAGCGGAGAATTCATGTATCAATTGAATTTGTGTTGGGATGTTAAAGACTGGAAAAGAAGGAATCAAATGGTATTAAGAATAATTAAGAAGTTATCAAAATGGGCGTGCAATGTTGTCGTTTAAAAAACTCAACCATGATAAGATTCTTATTAATCCTTATGCAGCTAATTAATACAATATATTCATTTCTCTTCACGTAAAGAGTTTCTCAGGACAAGTGCCAATAGTAAATATAGCACAACATGAATTAGATTCTGCATATCAACCATAATTAGATCAAATGGAAAGAATTTAATTTTCTTTAAGAAAGGTCAAGTTTTTTAATTTTATTAAAGGAAACAAATTTTCTGAAAAAGCTGCTTCCAAGTAGACCCAACAATGATTAAATGTGATCCAAAAGTACCAAATATCATAGAATTAGATTCTGTACCTATCAGCCATATCATTCTTCCATGATACTTTTGTTTGATATGCTGAATCGATTAAGCACCCATGTGCACAATCAATTAATCAAATGCAAAGATATAAGATTAAACAAACAGAGGATCATCAAGAACATAAAGACAGATTTACAATATCTCATTCTCATTATACACTATGAATAGCCATTGTTTGCAAATCTTTTTCCAGTCATATAATACTGAATATTTACATTGGCGTGGAGGGAAAAACTCTCCACCAGACTTTAGAATACAATACAGTAGACACATTTCAAACCATTCAGCATTTTGATGAGCCCTCACACTCTTAAAAACACAATGCAATTCAATGTGTTCAGGACTATCAGCTCTGTTGAGAAGATAATCATGAGCAACCAGAAATTCAAAGAGTGTTTTGAATCATGCGCTTAAGCAAAAGCCCTTACCTTCTTCACCCGTAGGGATAATCTACTCGAGTAATTCTTTATCAACTACTAGAGATGTGCAAATGAGGAAGCAACAATACTATTCAGAGAATTCAAGAACCGCAATCTGGACAACGAATCAATCCATTCTCATTGCACACCAAGCACTTCTTCAAAAGGCCTTCGTCTTCATCGAATATCTTCCTACTTCCACTGCAATTCACACAAGGCACAAATCTCACATCTCCACAACCATCACAGACAAACCCAGGTTTTCTCTTTGGAAATCCTTCAAGAATCTTGGCTAATTCACCAACTTCAAATAGATACTTTATCACCTCGGCACCTCCCATGTATTTCCCACCGATGAACACTTGTGGCAAGGACACGATCTTTTTTTCTCCTAGCACACTTTGTAATTCTTTCCTGTATGCTGAATCCATTGACACGTCTCGTTCATCCACCCACACCCTGCATCCCCTGAATATGTTTCGAACCACGTAGCAATCTTCGAATGTTCTTCGGATTCCTCGCAAACTAGTGAAATACAACACGATTCTATCCTCCGTACCGGGTAATCTGATACTGCTGTGGAAACTCGAAGAAATCCGAGAATCGTGACCAAGGGATTTCGTGGGTTTAAGCTTAATGGGATATTGAACGGGTGGTTCATCGGAACCTTTTGGCGAAGTTTTCGGAGAATCAAAGAGATTACATAGTTTCTTGACCTTCCCCCTGAGAGAAATTCCAGCGGATTTCACCGATTCCATTGGACTGTAGAATCTATTCATCGACCCTGTGCGATCAAAAGAGGATTGAAGGAGGGGTCTCTGAAACGAGTCCGTGTGGCTCGCATGCATCGTTTGCGAACGATTGAAGAACGTAAACCTCGCCTTCCCCGACGAGTAATCCATCTGGTCCGCCATCAACCTTGACCGTAAAATAACCGAAAACTTAAATTCTTGAGCAAAACCAGAAAACATTTCAACACAAGAAAATAATCACAATAATGCTCTATTACAGAAGAATCTGAGCAAATTGTAACATCAGATTTTTCTCCCTTACCTGCAAGGCCGCAAAATGGAACGAAGAAAACCTCTACAACAATTCACCAGCGAAGAAACAGAAGCAAAAACTCAACGCGGAACGAGAAACACCGATTGAACGGCGGTGCAGAGAAACAGGTGATAATCAAAGAAGGAGCTGAAATTTGATTGCTATGATGATAAATTGTTGTTTTAGTTACGCCTGGCCTTTGGCTTTTGATTTTTGCGGGGGGAGAGAGAGAGAGATCGTTGAGCAACAGAGGACGAGAAGAAAAAAGGAGCTGGAATTTCCGTGGGAGGAGAGAGAGGGGAAACAGAAAGTTTTGAAAATTTTGGTGAGAAATATTTGATCAGAGAGAAGGAGAAGTGTTAGAATCATATATTGAGACTTTTCAACGCGGTTTGGGTTTTTGACTCCAAACATTTTTTATATTTGGCCGATTAGATTTTTTTTTCTTATTTTTTATTTTAATTTAAAACAATTTGGGGATGATAAAAGATACTTTCTCTATTAAAAAATATAAAATAATTTTTAAAAAATTAAATATTAAAAAATATAAAATATTTTTAATTTTTTAAAATATAATTATTTTTTTTAAATATTTTTATTAATTAATAATTTTATATTTATTATAGAGTGTTTTATAAAAATAAATATAAAAAAACAATGTTAATTAAAAAGTAGATAACTACTTTATTAAGAGTGAAATTTGATTAAAAATATTTTATATTTTTTAATAAAAAATATCTTTTAATTAATAAAAAGAAATAAAATATAATGAATTAAAAATAAAAATAAGATAATAAAAAGATAGTAAATCACGTTCATAAAAAATGAGTAATTTAATTTATAAAATTAAAAATTATAATTAATAAAATTTTTAAATAATATAATAATTCTTAAATTTATAATACATATTAATAAATTTTATTATATTTATTAAGAAAAGTAATTTAATTTATTTTATATTAATTTTTTTAATTCATTATATTCTATTAATTTAAAATAATCAAACGGCATTTAAATTCCAAAATATGCGTGCCCGTGTATATGCTGACAAGAAAATTAATAAAGATTAGTAAATTACAAATATATAAGGTATAAAACATATCTTTATAAATGTTATTTTTTATTTAATTATTATATTACTTATTAAACCTTTAATCTAACCAATTAACCATGACAACCGTAATATGCTCACTAATATTTTTATAATCAAACTAAATATTGAACCGAAAAACTTGAAAAAAATTAAATATTTTAAATTTATCATGACTTAATAAGCCACATGATATAACATAATATTAAATAATTAAAAAAATTAATTATTTTTTTAAAAAATTAGATAATTTTTTTTTAACAATTTGGTTCTTAAAAATCAAATCCAATTTTTAACTTGATTTTAATTTCCGATCCAAAACGGCTCAACCTTCAAAATAGTTCTCACATATTGACAAAACCAAAATTTCAACCTGTCTAACCGTTTGGTCCAATTTGGTTTTTAAATCAGCGATGCTAACCATTCTAATTTATAGTTTGCTTTTATTTTTAAAATATTGGTAAATGGTAAATATGGGAAGGAAGTTACTGTTAACTTGAGTAAAGAATAATTTCGTCATCTTGCAAGTGTAAAGAATGACATTCGAAGGCTTTGAAACTTAAAAAAAATGTTTTTTTGTGTGTGTAAATAAATTACAAAACTTACTTATGGATAAGTCCCTTATTTAAATTTATTTATAATTTTACGTATATAATTTAAAAGGGGTATATTAATAAATGATAATGAAAGTATATTATATTATTGAGGGAGTTTGATTCAACTTTTTAATGATTGAATCAGCTTATCATGAGATCTCAAATTCAAATCATGCAATATACAATTATAATACATAAGCATGTCAACAATTTTTTTTGAGATACTATGAGGCTGCCATGGAATGATCCCATGTAGCGAGGTTCATATTAGTTTAATCAAGAAGTGATAATATTTCATGATTTTTCATGATATCATATAAGATTAAATAAAATTGACGTGGCATGTGTTTTTATTAGGTAGTATATAAATAACTCAGATATACTGGTCCATACAAGAATTCTCAAAAGCAGTTTATTGTATTGAACATGCACATGTGCAGGTTACATGTGGGTGGGTGCTTATTTTGCCTAACATATGTGCACGTGTTAAATATGTGGTCCATTAGAGAATTATTCGAATGATGCGAATACCGGCTTGTATAGTTTATCCAAGAATTTATGCAACCACAGTGTGCTCATCCCAATCATATAATTAAATAATATTCATTGTGTGATTACTTCTTAATTCATAAGTATATCTGATGGTTGACATTATTAACCTGATCGACTTGGACTCCCATGTTCCACATGCGAGATTGAATGGTTTACTAATAGAAGATAATAACAAATTATGCAATATTTGGTATATAGAAAAATGTTTTCTAAAGAGAAAATGAGAAGTGTACTTAAAAAAGAGAGAGAGAGAGAGATAGGTGTATTTTTCATTTCATTTCATTTCTTAAAAAGCATTTTTTTAACCTACCAAACATTATATTAATTATACTAAAATCTTAAAATTTTCAAATGTAACATCTTTCTTAATGTGCATCTAAATAATGACCATCGCTTAGACCACGAAATGTGTACTTTTTTATTCATAAAAAACCTAGGAACTGGGTCCTTTTTTATATATTTTTGTGTTGGTGAAAAATAGACAAAATGGGTTACATTTGTTTTGGTGGTGACTAGAGATTACAGATTAGGTATTGTTCTGTTGATGGCTTAGTTTACAATTTTGATGTTGAAAAACTCATGAACATGTAGACTTCTTGTGGGATTATATGGTGTTAAAAATGATTGGTATTAACTTGCTTGAAACTTTTATCCATTGAAAGTAAAGTGTATTTGATTGTTCCTAAAACTTAGCTCGTATTTGCACCAAACAAATGATTCAAACACCTCTTCGTCTTTCGAGCCAACTTTTATTCTCCAACTAGTTTGTACATTGCATTTTAATTAAGGCTCTGTTTGATTTAAAGAGAGGGAAGAGAAAGGAAGGGAGTACCTAAATAGCCAGTAACATATTTTTAAGAAAGAATGATGAACAGGTCCCATTAAAATAAACAATTCATAAAAGAGTTTTATGAAATGAGAAAATTACTTCAAAGTTCTTCAGGATTTATATAACATGTTTTTTAAACAAAAATACATTACTAAACCTCAGCAAAATAATAGAAAATATAATTGTTAAAATCTAAATTAAAGTTGTTAATAATAAAAAAAATTGTTACTTGTTAATATAGAAAGCAAATTGTTAGTTTAGCTATGCGACAACATTTGTATATTAATATTTATATGCAACTAGAGTATGGCCCTGTGCAATGCACAGGGACACGTTAGTGTTACAGACTTTCTTTTTTAAAAAATGTTACTGTTTTTTTTTTACTGTAAAACAAACAATAACAAAAGATTATATTTTATTAAAAAAAAAGATTTAGGATGCTCAATTACTATCTTAGTTACTATTAGTTTTCTTATACGGTATATATGTGCAATTTTTTAGATCTTTTTTTTTTATAATTTTTTGTTGTTAACTAATTGTCAAAGATAATTTTTTTAATAACATAATATATCATTTTTAAATATTGAAGAGAAAATTATACCACATATAAATTTATGATACTTGAAGTTTATTAGCTAATGAATAAAGAATAAAAATACTTTTTAACTCTTTTTATTTTTAAATTTGACTGTAATCCAATATTTTTTTTATAAAAAAAGAGAGAAACACGCACAAACATGTAAAAATAAAGTTGGAACTTCAAAATTCAAATATATTCCAAACAGGGAGGCAGCATTGCCGCCGTTGATATATTTTAATTTTAATTCATTAAGCCATCTTCCCATATACTTTTGCCAATAGGGCCTTAATCCCCATTTTTTTCTTTCTTTTTTCCAAATTCCAAATGATATATGTAACTTCAGTTTTTAAATAGATACATAAAACTACTCGAGTGGAAACTCACCCAAAAAATTCAGATTGAATTGAAGAATTTTTTTTTTAATTGACTTGATTTGATTTTCAAAGACAAGCTATTACCATCACATCAACTCTATTTCATTCTTCAACTAAGTGCCTGTTTGGTTATGCTTCAAAATTGTTTTTTTTTTTTGGGTCAATCGGTTATTAGAAGGAAATTATCCAAACATCACATAATAAAATAATCAATTTTTTTCGTTAAAATGGATTCTTTTGGAAAGCTAGCCATTAGAGCTTGTGGGAAAAGTTGATCAAAAAGTATTAGAAAAAATTATAAAGAAAGGCTAAAAAAATTATAAAAAAGTACAAAATTTAATAAAAATAAAATCAAACTCTATTCTCTTCTCTTTTTTTTTCTTAGTAAAATTTAAATTTTGAATCTTTAAAAAAATTGCTAACATAAGTTTCTGACAATCACCATCCTCTAATTAACACTTATTATAAAATTAATTCAAATAAAATATTAATTGGTAGAAAAAAATTAATTTAATTTAATTTAAAATTTATGGACATTACAAAGATTGATGTAAAGGTCCAAAGAGAGAGAGTTTTTTGCATCATTTGTTGTATTACTACATTTTTTATGTTGTTAAAATTTTAAAGCGGTGCTTAACATTTTTGTTAGATATAACTTATATCTATGATGTCATTAGAGATCAATTTATATATTATCATCTTCATTGATTATTATAAAATTAATTTTTAGTATTTAAAAATTAAAACTTTCTCTTTTATTAAATTTGTTTTAATTAAGATATATTAAGTTACTTATTTATATAAATTCAAATGTTAATATTAATATAATTTAAATTTTTCAATTAATTAAATATGTACTTTAAATAATATATTTTACTTCTTAAATAATGTAACAACTTTAATAATATTAAATATAAATTTATTAATAATTTAATTTTAAAAAGTAATGTCTTTTATGATACCTTTTTTAACTAAAATTGATTCTGAATATATTATCTAAATATCTTTAATTATGTTAAAATTAATTTTAAAAAATTATATTCAAATAGGTTACATTATAACATAATTAATTATAATTAAAATTTATTATTTAATTAATTATTTTTATAATTTATTATATTCAACTTAAATTTAAATGGGTAGTATCGTGTGTGAGTGTGTGTGTGTGTTGTTTTTTTTTTTTTTTCGTTTTTTTGGACAAGAACTAACATGTGCTTTGAGTCCCATACATTGCACGGTAAAACATCGATCATATCCACTGAAAAAAAAATCATATAATTTAAACCTGAAAAATCTTAAATCAAAACCACCAAAA